GCCATCCTGCCCGCCACGTCTCATCTCCAGCCGAGAGTTTCCTCCAGACTTCTCAGGAAAACCATATCATATTTGGAGGGCAATGGATGTTAATATGTGCCATTATGGGTTCTGTTGGAAATCGACCAAAAAAATCTTCAGACAACTGTTGGCACAAATAATCGAACCCAAGATTCGCCCGGATGGTGTTGTGGCTGGCCGTCACCTCCTTGATCGACTGCCGCACTGCCACAGGCCAAGAAGTTGCATCACTCTCCATGAAGTTGATGAAAAGATCAAGGCACGCCTTTTGGGCAAGTAGTACACGGCATGTGAGCGACTGCAAGTTCCTGTTGGAAGTCGCATCCTTGTTGACGTACCCATGCATGACTCCATCGTACCTTTCATGGGCCAGGACCAGAGGAGAAAAAAGTCCAGTAATATTTAACCCTGGAATTGTAACACCAGAAGCATGTTGAATATCCTATTGAACAAGTGTTATATTATAGCATTAATCACATCCCCATAACATGAGGTGCCCTTTTTCACCCTTAAAGTAAACCTTTTTAACCAAAAAAAAGCACCTGTGACATATCCATATGTGTTGATCATAGATTTTGGTAGAAAATGATGAGATGATATGCCTTACCCATAATGAATGAAACCAAGGCACAGGGCGAAAAACACCCATTTGATCCCTTCTGGATTCCGTCCTTGCTGAATCAAGATCTGAAACTTCGACCACCGATCAAACGGGTTTTTACGTTGTTCATCAGCTCCCAGCAACAAGGCACTGAGCTCCGTGTCTTTCAAGACCTCACTGCCGAATAGTTCAATCTAAAAAACTTGCTTGTCCATACCCAATTTTCACCTAACCAAATCAAAACCCCAGGCTTTTGAAAGCATCATTTTGATCAGCTTTAGTTCTGGAAAACCACCCTATGACAATTTCGGACAGGGTACTCGATTTCCCATCGTGCAGGCTGTGTCGACAAAGGACGGGGATACCTGAGCGATGTGGTGACGTTGGTTGTTATTCGTTTTGGGGGGGCCACAGTAATTCCTTGCAAAACAAGTCATGGTGCATTCTTATTCTTGTTGACTGAGGCTAAAAAACAATGTTCGATTACCTTCTATTTTACAGTCAAAAGAAACAAAGTCTATATTCAAACCAAACTGCTGCATCCTCTGGGTTGGCCCATGTCACTTTGTCTTCATACAGTTTGGAGAGAGCCTCACTCTTGATGGTACCGTGTTTTGCCTCCCATTCAGACTTGAACCCCAAGATGTTGAATATCTGCTGAAGAGGCGAATGCTTGAGCGCAATTCCGTGCAATTCGAAGTTCCTTGCTGTTGCTTTGATTTGAATTCAACATAACTGAAATTGTGCGGACTAAGATTGGGTTCAAATGGTCTGAACTTGTTTAAGACTATGTGTAATCTATTGAATCCCCAAATGAAAAACCATAGAGTCATGCCGAAATTAATATACCCGAGGATCTGTCGCTCTTGGCATGCAAGCATGTGCAGCCTTAGGTAGCAACAGTGCAAAGTTTCAATACATTGCCATCAACAAAAAATATAAATCGCATGACCATCATGATGATCAAATCAGGTCAACAACATCACCATGCAAGTTGCTGACTAGTAACTCGCTAATGGGCACATCATCCAATCTGTACTCAAAGGACACGCTGAGGAATTGCCTGTCGAACCATAAACATGGTGTTGTTGTACTTTACTGGAACCACTGAGAACATGCGGGTGTATTGATGAAGCATGACATGAGGGACCAGCATGTATAATGATAAGCTGATGAATTACTCTTGTCTCTTGTTGGTGCCACCTTGCCTTTTCCACTCGTCCATCAGCTCCGGCTTGTTGATGTCTCTGTGGGCTGCAAAAACAAATGCTAAGTCCATCTCAACGGGGCTGAACATCTTGACCTTGCAGAACGCAGGATCTTCTGCTGGGTCAGCCTTGACAACCTGATCATAGCCCATGTCCTGAAGTGAGAGGTGCAGGGGGATGAGTTTAAGGGTGTTGCCCAACTAAATTCCAAGACATTTCAACTTGAGTGGCAAAACGATAATGCTTTGTTAGCCAAGTTTCCTTGGGCACATGAACTTGGAGTAGGGTTGGGTATGCTGCAGGTTTCGCAAAGTGGTGACTGACGATCATGTCCACCACAGAGCTTCGGATTGGAGTCTCAGAAAAGCATTGAAATAAAGTTGACAGGTTTTGAGGATTTGGACAGCACAAGAAGACGGTTCAAAGCCCCCCCAAAGCAGAAAACACATAGAACAATGTAGCTTTTGACTTACTCAAAGTGCTTTCCTTCTGTTTTTCTGGGCTCTAAAATCTCCCAGTCAACCAACTTGGCAATATTGCGTTGTAAGAACTTGTTTCTGCAGAAGCACAGTGAATGCAACCGAGGAACTCCGGAAGTTGGGCTCCAAAACAAATTATGACGGAACCAGTTTTGGCCACATCGGTACACCTTCTTCCCAGTCTCCGTGCTGTTCATCACCGATGTATAGTGAGAACTGTTGAATGGGGCCTGGAGATTCAATGGTTTTTTCTTGCAAAAAAAAAACTGTTTTTTTCCTTGTAAAGGATGGAGGCCCCCATGTTGTTCAAAGTTGGTGAGTTAGTTGATGGAAACGATTCAATTCAATTTCATTGAAATGAATGGGTGGTTGGCTCCAAACCCTTTTTCTGACCATGTGATGTTTTGTTAAATGGAAGTCAGGAATCACAAACGAACCATCTATTTGAAACCCCATCCGTACCCTGCCTCTTTTCCACCATCCTTGACCAGCAGCGGGTCCTCCATCGTCACATCGGGCCACAAGTCATGGAGATCATTCACATGTTTTCTGAAGACGTGCAGCCTTAGGTTTGATGCAGCTCAATCAAGTTGCATCGCCGTTGTCACGGCTAATGAAATGTCGAGATGGGTGATGGATCATCAAAACCGAAAACACCATTGGTGGGGAATAAACATCAACTTGCTGAATATTTGGGGTTTAACCCATCATTACCCATCATATGTCGTGGGATCGAACCAAAATTTGCCATAGCTTTATCGCTTTGTTGAAACCTGCCTCCCCATTAGGCCAAGACACAGTTCAGCATTGAACTCACATCCACTGGCTGGCATATCGCTACCACTAGCCTGGCTTCCGGCCACGGAAGGCGCTTTGGATTTGCTCTTTCTGGGAGCCATGGCGCGGTGCCCAGCACAACAGGCACTGAGCTTGACCAGGTCAGCCCCTGGGTGATCCTTCAAAATCACGTGGCAGTGGAGGAAGCTGTGCGATGATATAATAAACCCATTGGGCTGTAATCATTGAAGTTATCAACTACATTGGTTTTGTTTTAGTTTGATGTTTTATTAAAGTTTTCCCGATGGCTTGCCCCCCCCTAACGAACTCCCCCAAAGAAAACAGCCACAAGGAAAATTACAATTCATTGATATCATTGATATTATAAATCTTAAATGACATTACCTGCATTTAAGATAGTTTGTGATCTAAGAAGCTGCGAAAGCTGCAGGCTCTTAGATCACTCACTACCGGTAGCGATTGATCTAAGAGGGGGTTCTGTTTCATTGATCCACCTTTGATCTTGCGTTCTTCGCACCAACACCCCAGCGAAAACACAAGATCACCCTAGGCCCAACGATCTCAAAACCATCCTTAGATCACTCACTACCGGTAGCGAGTGATCTAAGAGCCTGCAGCTTTCGCAGCTTCTTAGATCACTAACTATCTTAAATGCATTTAACTGGAAACACAGAAAATACAGAAATGTGTTGAATTCTCCCATTCCAACCCTAGTGAACGAACAAAGGAAGTAAGTCAAGTTGACCAGATACATCCGGGTCCAAATCCACAAACTCAGTGCCAATAGCGAGTGATCTAAGGAAGGAAAGTTTGGTGGTTTCCCCAATTCACTACTGCTAGCGAGTGATCTAAGGAACTAAAATTTTTGGGCAAATCCATCCAAATCCCCAAACTCACTACCGCTAGCGAGTGATCTAAGGAACTAAAATTTTGGGCAAATCCATCCAAATCCCCAAACTCACTACCGCTAGCGAATGATCTAAGGAACTAAAATTTTGGGCAAACCCATCCAAATCCCCAAACTCATTACCGCTAGCGAGTGATCTAAGGAACTAAAATTTTGGGCAAATCCATCCAAATCCCCAAACTCACTACCGCTAGCGAGTGATCTAAGGAACTAAAATTTTGGGCAAATCCATCCAAATCCCCAAACTCACTACCGCTAGCGAGTGATCTAAGGAACTAAAATTTTGGGCAAATCCATCCAAATCCCCAAACTCACTACCGCTAGCGAGCGATCTAAGGAACTAAAATTTTGGGCAAATCCATCCAAATCCCCTAACTCACTACCGCTAGCGAGTGATCTAAGGAACTAAAAAAAAGAAAAAAAATCAAAAATAGTAAATAAATAATCAAAAAAATAAAAAAAAAAAACGTAACCAAAATTAAAAACAAATATACATCCATTATCCAAAAAAAAAAAAAAAAAAAAAAAAATTTTGGGCAAATCCATCCAAATCCCCAAACTCACTACCGCTAGCGAGTGATCTAAGGAACTAAAATTTTGGGCAAATCCATCCAAATCCCCAAACTCACTACCGCTAGCGAGTGATCTAAGGAACTAAAATTTTGGGCAAATCCATCCAAATCCCCAAACTCACTACCGCTAGCGAGTGATCTAAGGAACTAAAATTTTGGGCAAATCCAAATCCCCAAACTCACTACCGCTAGCGAGTGATCTAAGGAACTAAAATTTTGGGCAAATCCATCCAAATCCCCAAACTCACTACCGCTAGCGAGTGATCTAAGGAACTAAAATTTTGGGCAAACCCATCCAAATCCCCAAACTCACTACCGCTAGCGAGCGATCTAAGGAACTAAAATTTTGGGCAAATCCATCCAAATCCCCTAACTCACTACCGCTAGCAAGTGATCTAAGGAACTAAAATTTTGGGCAAATCCATCCAAATCCCCAAACTCACTACCGCTAGCGAGTGATCTAAGGAACTAAAATTTTGGGCAAATCCATCCAAATCCCCAAACTCACTAAGAGAGAGAGGGGATAGGGGAGAGAAGAAAAGTGAAAAAATTCCTCAAAAATACAAAAAAGGGGGGGATAAGAAAGATCCGTCTTACGGATATGCAATTGATCGCCAATAAAATAAAACGCGTTGTCCCAACAATGGCCCCCAACACGCACGAACGCTAGCGAGAGTGATATAAGGAACTAAAAAAAAAAAAAAAAAAAAAAAAAAAAAAAAAAAAAAAAAAATTTTGGGCAAATCCATCCAAATCCCCAAACTCACTACCGCTAGCGAGCGATCTAAGGAACTAAAATTTTGGGCAAATCCATCCAAATCCCCTAACTCACTACCGCTAGCGAGTGATCTAAGGAACTAAAATTTTGGGCAAATCCATCCAAATCCCCAAACTCACTACCGCTAGCGAGTGATCTAAGGAACTAAAATTTTGGGCAAATCCATCCAAATCCCCAAACTCACTACCGCTAGCGAGTGATCTAAGGAACTAAAATTTTGGGCAAATCCATCCAAATCCCCAAACTCACTACCGCTAGCGAGTGATCTAAGGAAGTCAAATTTGATAGTTTCCCCAATTCACTACCGCTAGCGAGTGATCTAAGGAACAAAAAAATTGAGCAAACCCATCCAAATTCCCAAACTCACTACCGCTAGCGGGAATGATCTAAGGCAAATGCTTGTTGAACACACTTAGCCTTTGTTGTGGTGGCAACATGACAATGAAACACTATTTTTTCTGATTCTGCAACCCCCCAGATCAGAGTCCAATCGCCATTTGATTGATGGCTTTATTGTCATCATCAGGTCAGTGGTTGAACCACACTAAAGAGCTAATTAAATCAAACATTGCAAACGCCACGCCAAGTGCGAGCGGTGTCAATTTGCTTCAGCTTCGAAATCACGGTGTTTGCCTTGAGCATCACCATCTTGAGGGATCGTAAGTGAACCACCTAAGGAATAAGGAATCTGAATGCTAATAAATCAAATATATACTATTTTCCAACATTGAACATGGTTCAGGATGCTGATGGTGTCAAACTGTGGCATTTGATAATTGCAGCCTGAGGAGCCTCATCTGACTCACTGTCATCAGTAATGAAGCATAGGAATCGCCCAGGTGGGTAGGAAGCACTCTTGGCCTCAGAAAGGCCGTGATGACATGATCATATAGGACCGTAATGGACAACAGTCAGTACTGAAACCATTTAACTGGCTGACTTCCAAAAAGCATCCCTTGGTTTCCATGATTCAGTAATGAATAATCATTAGTAAGGGTGATATTTTCTTCATGGGGGAAGAAAGGATACTTTCTGACATTCTGACAGTGGAACATTGGATAACAATGAGTCCCAGACAATAACTTCATCGTAGCTCAAAAGCTTCCAGCGACGAGGTGTGGGTTGGGCCCCAATTGCACTTTCAATTACCTTGGTGATTCCTTGGAAAGCGTCCTTGAAATCTTGGGACATGAAGATCCATTTTGGCTGGTCTAGGGGAGACTTGAATGCAATTCTGGTACCCGGGGCTAGCATGGGTCCACCTGTAATGCATTTTGAACTCACCAAGCACCCACCACGAAGCACCATGGCTAATTCGTTGCGTACACCAGGCTTTACCATGTTGTCAATGACGATGAAATCTGCAATGGAACGGTCCCGTGTGATCTTGCCGGAGAGATGGTTAACAATGTTGGTCTTGATGTCCCTGTCGTGGGTATCCTCTGCAAAGAAAACCTTGCCCTCGGTGATGGTCTGTTTGGGCCCTTGGTTCAACTTGTTTCAATAATGCTGTGCAGCATGGGGAGACATCAAAACCCCAGGCTGTGACTTTGCCAAGATGCTGATCAATGCTTCTCTGCCTCACCGAGGCTGGATGCGGGGATGGTTTTGGGTAAGTTACCAACACAATTTCCGGCTGTTGATGATGATGATGCACATTGTGACACAAAGACTAGGCATCAAACGTTTTGACCGGTCTCTATAATAGTCTTGTCGGAGAACAACTTTTTGTTTCAAAAACTCCAGTAGTCGCTTCCGGTCATTCTTTGTCCCCTTCAAGATGCCATCCTTGATAGCTTCCATTCCTGACCAACATCATCGAAAGATCCAATAGTTGACAAACCCAGTTGGTTGCAATCTCTCTGCAAACTTTGAACGAAAACAAGTGCAAACTGCTTTCCTTTGACTCTGTTACTATGTTTTTTTCTGGAGGTCTAGCAGCAGTATGATAGGGGCTTGGCTGAGCCCTTCACTGTTTGCATGTACTCGCTTGTTTTGCAGTTCAATCTCTTTGGTTTGTTTCTGTGTCCACAAAGACCTGGAAAGTGAATCACGGGGAGGCACATTAAAGGAGGATGAACCACCAGTTGAAGCCACCATTGTTTTGACCACCCGTCTCCTTTTGCGAATCCACTCGGCTTCATTGCCAGCATCACATGTACGTTTTTTGCACCGTCTCACATGTACCCGGGTCGACACCTGCCAGGTCTTAAGGTCTCAAAAGTTGAAAAAATGTTACACTGGGATATCCCTGGGTTCTTACTACCGCATTGTTGCTACAATCCAAACGTATTGAAATTTGTCATCACGGTGACTGTAACGATACTACGACCCCGGCCTTTCTGGCATCTCCATACACACGAGCCTGGGTTAAGAGTTTATGCGGGCAGTGTCCCACTGTCACTGTTTAAAGGTATAAAATGATATAAAGTATTTGCAAATGGTGATCACTTGTAATCTCAACTTTCCGAGCAACCCATTCCATTTGGGCCATGTCGACAGCAATGTCCATCTCACTGTGACACAGATAAGCCACACGCAGCTCGTCATTGACGGTTTCCACCATGACATCTCCACGTTGAGTTCCATTCATCCAAACCGACTTGGAAAACCTCAGTTTCGCTCAGTTTTTGGTGTTAATGTGTGTTACATTTTTGCATCATGGCCCTACACTTACTATTACGAGAACGAAACTATATGCAACTGATGAAGGGGGTGGCACAAAATCAATTTGCTACGTGGGGTATAATATGAACAATATGACTTAAGGCGGAAAATAGGGCACCTTGTTTTGAGAAATCCCATAGTCGGCCAGCAGCCTAGCACCAATCGTCCACCAAATAATTCGGAGAACCAAGATACAATCGCTCCACACTGGATGTCGAGAAAGTAAATGCCAACTTTCTGCATAGAACTGATGCCATGCTGTCGCAGGCTCCTTGCCCGACAAGCTTCCGCTCACGAAGGAGGGCAGATCGCCATGCCAGTGTTGGGTCCTTGTTGTCGGATTGCTTGTGATAAGCACATGCCACCGGGTACAATGTCTTCATCTCAGCTAGGAGCATCCCCTTAGTGACAATGGTAAGTTTGGATTATGGTTTTTATTAGGCCACCCGTCAAAAGAACAAAAAATCGTTATAAAATAAATGGGTTACTGTTTTCAATTTACGGCGTTAATTGGATTGGAAAGATGGGTTGGTAAGCCAAAAAGCTAGGAAATTTTCAACTTTGGATGAGTGTCTTTGTCAAGCCCCCAAGCTGTGGCCAATGCTTTAGCAGAATCCTGGGATGGTCTTGGCATTTTGTCCACTTGGAGGTTCAATCTCAAAGCCACAGCCAAGTGCATGCACACCCCAAACGAAGGGAATTCTGTTTCCAGAATTGTTGTAGCCACCTTGACCCAGTTCATCATCCTGGCACATTGGTGACGCAATGATCGCTGTACACAAGTCAATGGTGGTGGTACATAGTGACATATTGGTAAATAAATGCATCGAGATTGAAGTTTAAAAATAGTACGGGATGGCCTTCCCATGACACGATGCTTGATTTGTGAAGTGATGGCATCAGGGCCGCCAAGCACAAGTTGCTTCCCTTTGTGAATCAACACCACCGGTGTCTTCCTTAGGTTGTTTGCATGATACTTTGCATTGGAACGGTTTTGAATTAGTACATGCACTGCCACTGTCACTGCAATCAGATAAAAATAAGTCATAATAATCCGAGATTCAGAGTTTCGAGGAGAAACGTGGAATATGTGCCAGGGGTCTCAAACAAGTAGCCCCGGGTGAACATGCAGGCTATGTTCTTCTGGAACCTGAGTGCAGCAAGTTGCAAATTACTACGGTACTACGGGCCCCGATGACATACTCTTGGATGTGTGTCAGAGCATCGAGCACTTGGATGACAACAACAAAACACTGCGAGAAGAGAACAAAGACCTACTATGAGGGCTTCAGGCATCGCACTGCAGCTTGAGATCTACGGGATTGAGAAGCCGGAGCCATCAGGCATCTCCAAAATGACATGGGATGTTGATGCTGCTTGAACGAAGCCTGGATCATCAACCTAACTACAATAATTAACCATAGTATCGAGAAATTACCCTTAGACCACAAATCTCAATCCCAGCCACGTCTCAAGAGCATACATCAAGTCTGTGGGCTGAAAGCTATCAGAATCGGCCACCCTCGTAACCAGGAATGCTTCATCGTGGGCATCGGCCAATGCTGCTAGGGTCCTTGGGGACATCAAAAGTAAGAAAGACTTTTTTCTCATGCATGAGGATTGGAAAAATACGACTTGAATTCGAATCACGATATTATAAGATGAGCCACAAAGCTTCTTCCACGCTCCATTGCTCCAAGAATTCTGTGGCAGTTTTGCCTTCTGCCTAGGTTGGAATTTTACTTGCATGGAATTGCATATCAGGATACATATTTCAAGATGGCCAGCCAAGTCTTTGAAAGGCCAAGTAACTTTTCCAGCACGTTCCCGACACAGCGTCTCCATGGTCACCAGGAGCGGTTGCATGTGGAGGACAAGTCGCCCAAGTGGTTTCTGGAGGCTCTCAAAGCGATGTTTCGCGGCTCGTAAGTTTTTGCCTTCAAAGTTGGCAACTTGGGAAAATGGGATATGATGAGAGAAGCATAAAGAGGATACTGAATGTCACTCAACTTGAAACAGGTTTGCTGACTATTATGTTATAATGTTTCTCAAGCTTGTGACATGACATGTGAACTGATTGAAGCTGAAGAACAGCTCCACCCGTTGTTGGACTTCACAAAGTGGCCAAAACGCTTGGCAAAGTAGGGTCGAAACTGCAGCAGTTGTGCTGGTGACTGGCCACCCGTCACATACTTTTTGAGCACCCGTGCCAGGTATGGATCTGCCTGCGTACATCGGCTGGCAATCCTCAGGCAGCAATTTGGGGCTGGAGTGGGTAACATGGAGGTCTAGTTGAAACAGGGAATACAATTTCTGAGTACACAGTAACATTTCAGATTTGGGGCCACTGATTCTCTTCCGAACATGTTCGGACATTGCCAAAAAAAACATATTCGATCAAATGGAATAGAACGGGATGGAGTCTGAAGCTTTTTGTGGTGTTTTTCCATCAGCAGTCCTTCGTGATGCATGGGCTGTGTCTTTGCTTCTAATGCGGAGATTGGTAAAATCCAGCTTCAAAAGCTCTGCAGCCACCATTTCCTAAGAGTCAAGGTTTGAACATGAAACTTACAGGTGCTGCTGGAGATCGGAACAAATAGAAAAAATGACCAATGAACCCATCACAGAACATACTTGTTAATTATCGCAAGCTAGAAACGTCACCAGCTGCATCTGTGCAGAACTGTTCAACTTTCGGCTTGAGTGCGTCCAGTGCGTCACCAAATTGCAGAGGCAATGTGTCCTGGGCCAACTGACAAACACTGTTTCAATGGCATGTTGTGTTTCCCATGAGCTTTGTTTCTCACCTTCCGTTGGCCCTGCACAAGTATAGAAGGAAAATAGGTAAAAAGTTAAGCCCAAGAGTCCCTAGTGAAAGGAACCACTGAAGATGGAGTGCACAACTCCTTCAAAATGCCCATTGTGGCATCCCGAACCCCGACTGCAGTGAGGTCTTGGTGCTCTGCCTGGTCCCAGATGCCCAAGAAGCCGCTTGACGTTTCCATGGCCAAGCTGCACGAACTGTATCGCAAGGCCATTCGATGCTTGCGAGGGTCCTGGGAAGACTCAAGCAGTGGGGTGCTGGCTCCTGAAATTGTCTTGGTTTAACTTCAAAACGATTTAACATTGAGAAGTTGAGGGAGAGAGAGAGAGAGAGAAGTTTGAAAGTGGATCTGTCCTGTTGCAAAGAAACAACTTCAGCAGCCTTCAGCTTTTTCAGAGTCAATAGACGGGCTGCTTGGCCAATGCAATACAACATTTTCCTCTGCAGATTTCTGCCTGCAACCTTGACAGGGACCAGTGTCATCTGGAATAATTGAAAGATTAAAAGATCATCAAAAATCAGCCCAGAAAATGTTGAATACTACCCAATGAGTTTTGTGTACGTTGATGTACGTTGACATTGTTTCCCCTGCCTTGGATTTATCAGCTTTCTCCTGTTTCTGAATGCCCTGGACTACAGACTTGAAAGCCGATCCATGAGGAACAATTTTTCCTGCCACCAGTGAATGCCCCATGATGTTCTCGATGCACGTGCCATCATCCAGTTTTGTAGCCTGAATGTGCTCTTGCATCGGGGGAGCACTTGGTTATACTTGGTTAAGTTACCTGTGTCACAACCACCCAATTAATCCTTTTGGCATTGGACAGATGTTCTATAATTACCCAGAATCTTTCCAAGCAACTGCAAGCCGATGAGCTCTAGACTCTGAATGTTGTTGCACATGGTGTCGCAAGAACGATCCTCTACCTCGTGCACCTTGGTTGAAATAGAAGGTCATCATCCAAGACACAAAACTAATTACATGTTGAATGCACGGATGATGTGAAGGCTTTCAAAGAACTTGAAAAAAATATCATTCGTAAATTATTCCAGGGTACCACCACCAGTAGCCCATTTCCCTTTCACACCAGCAGCCTTGCAGATCTGACATTGGACCCCATGTGGCCCCAGAAAGACCCAGGGATATTCACGCTGCCAAGTTCTCACCTTAGAGGCCATACATCGAAGCTGCTTCGTCGTCTTGCTCGTCATGTGGCAAGCTCAGAACAAGCAGCTGGCATGGCAATACTTACCTCAACTGAAGATGAATCTTGTGAGTGATTGGTGATCACCACTGAACCTTTCATTAAACTATTGCTAATATCATATCATAGAATCATAGTTTAATTATCGGTGGTTCATTGTCGGCAAGCGAGCAGTTTTATAAAGCGAGGTGACCGCCTATGTACATCTCTTGAAATTGACCATGTTTGCAGTCTGTGTTCCTGAAATAAGCTGCAGGGAGAGAAATCTGACGTCATGCAGGGCCCATGCTCTGGCAGAGATTGCACTACTCATGGTCAATATGATCAATTGCCTAAATCAAACCTTGTTGTTTTAAAGCCCATCATTTGACTTGAATGATTTATGATGAACATAAATATTCAAGGGGTACCTTCCCAAAGTCAGTACAGCAGCAATCACTTCCCCCAGCAGATCCCCTGCTTCCATCCGCATTTGGGCCACCAAACCAGGTGCAATGAGACCGAGGGTGGCCGTGAAAGACCTGGCATGAGCAGCATGAGGTGCAATCTTTGGGCTTGCAGCGGAGAAGGGTGACGAAAAGGAATCCTATACACAAGAGGACCAGGAATCAATCTAAATATATACATCACACTCAGTTCTAAATATCCCCATCATCATCACTACTTTGCACAATCAGTTTCATCGACATCAGGAATCAGCAGTGTTCGTAAGCATTCAACTATTTTCCAGATCAATGCAACTGCAACAACCATACACCAATGAGGTATATGAAGTTTTGACCCATGCAGTTTTGAATAGACAATCCACTTATAACCCGTTGTTTTGAACATTCCTGTCGGGTGGATCACTTACATGGCCCGGTTTGGCGCCTGGCTCGCGATGATCACGATTGCCAGTGGCACCTGGCTTGGGATGATCAGATCATGTCATCAAACTCTAGTCAGCCACGGAGAAAAAGCAACATATTACTATGTACTCTCAACCATTACAGCTTAAGATGTTGCATGGCTGCATGACCTACATCACAAATAAATCATATGATTACCATCATTCGTAAATCATGGCCACACCATGACCTAGCATATTCCTTTGGCTTGCTGTGATGGCAACTGGAAATCCGCAGAGCACTTCTGTGACTACATCAGAGCTGCACCATGTCATATGATTTTATGTTGTTCTATATATGTGTTCTTAGATCCCCTTTTTCTATTTTACACTTGGCTTTTTTCAAACAGAACCCTTTGGGATGTGAAATGATGTGAAGTCTTTGACAGGGGTTGAGGTGGAGACAGGTGGGGAACCTGGCAGGATTACTGAGAGGAAGGCAGTGACCTCTTGTTTCTCTGTTACACTTGGCAAGTTTCTACTTTGCACTGGACGGTTTTTCCTTGAGGCAATGAATGGGATGTGCTGCCAAATGAGCCTAGCATCACTGGCATCACTCGTGGTGGGCTGGTCATGATTGAAACCTGGCTGCTGTTATCTACTTTTTCTATTTTTGAATGTGGTTCCAATCCAACTATCATCTAGCACTCTTTGTCAAGGTTTCGGATGATTTTTTGTAGTCTATTATCTGTCTCCCAGGAGTCAGTGGTGGCTACAACATGGACTGGCGGTGGTGAGGAGCTTTACAGAATAGCACTCCAAAATGTGACTTGGCATTGATTGGACAGGTTTTCTTTTTAATTTTATGTTTGTAGTCCATGGGTGACATCCACCCAAGAAATATGTGGGCTTGTGGTTCCCTGAAAGATTTAGATCCAACATTAGAGTTGCTTTCTATTTTCAGTTTCAAGTGTTGTTTTGCCAAATGTTGGTGGTTGCCCCGGTTTCTGAATGATGGTTGGTGCTTTTCATCGGGAAATTTCATGGCATACCTATCGCGGGTCTTTACCTGGCCTCATCTTTACCTGGATCGAGGTTCTAAATGCTCAAGATAAACTATATGAATGTGACCATGATGCTTCGACCTCCAGCAACCCCAATGCTATTGGCATGAACGAGCCATAGCTATGATGAGATGAAGGAAAAAAAGATCTGAGCGCAGTCGGAGCTGCAGCCGGATGGGAAAACCACAAAGCCTTTAATTACTTGATTTTTGGTACCCTTGATTATTTGAGTGGGAGGATGAACACCTGTTTGCCAAAAAAACATGCCAGGTGCACGGCGTGAAGATCCACACACTTGGATGGTGGCAGTGGCAGCTGCAGCCACCGCTGGCTGCTGGAGGGGGGTGAAGGATAAGGTATATATAAGAGATACAGTAAAAATGATCTATATAAACTATTTAACTATCATAAATGCAGGTAAGTATATATATTATAATTATATAATATATATATATATATATTTACAATCATATCCGATCCCTTCGATGACGACCAGCGAAGCCATGCGAAGCCATGCGAAGCCCAGGCACCGCCACGGCGAGGTACGTCGCCAGCACCGTGAAGACCAGCAGTCCGGCCACCAGAGCGATGATCTGCGACAACTCCACAACTCCACCAGTGCAAAAAACGATGACTCAGGGAAGGAAAAAGTGAGAAGAGATCTATTGTATGTAGAGATATGGACTGTGCATGTCGTGCATGTCACATGTATCACTTTCACTATGACATGGACATCATACCATGGACATCATACATCTGCCATACATCTGCCATACATCTGCCATATCTCAGGTACTGCCTGTTACATCTCTACCTGACGTACCTGTCGTCACTGAAGTCACTTCGCCTCCTCGGTGCTCCAACTCCTGGGGACCACGGTGATGTGGGCCTTCTGCGAACGATTCGAAAAGTCGTTGTTCCGGGTCGACACCACCTGGCAACGAAACAAAAAGAAACAAAAAAAAACAAGGAAAAAGAACATAGAACCCACACAATAGAACAGGATAGAACAGGATAGAACAGGATAGAACAGGACATACACACTGCTCATGCTGCCCCTGGCCTTGTGGACCCCCACGATCCGCATCTGCACCAAGCCTGTGACACGTGCGTTTCACGATGTGTTTCACGATGAAACATGGCCTGCAGATAGCGACGAGCATGAGCTGCACATGGTGATGCTCGTGTGTTTGATGTTTGGTAGTTTTGCCACGTGCACATGCGCACCTCCATCAAATGTGGCAGTTGCACCTGGCAAGGCCAGCACATTTGTGGGATCAAGCAAGTTCGAAAACGTCTTGGAAAACATGTTAAGTTTGAAAACAGTGTGTTTAACACAAAGAGTATGAAAAAGTTGCACCAAAGAAAATATCCTTGACCGTGCCAGGCTGCACCGTTCAGCTGCTTGCAATTCTGAACCGAATTCTGATCGTTTTCTGCGGTGTCACAGAGGTTGGTCTGCTGGTTGATGTAAGCAAACCTCTGCGTAGGCCGCTGTGCAGAGAATGGTGACTTGCTCATGGTTGCCGTGTGTTTGTGTTTGCCATGTGCACTCCTCAGCACCCCACTTGGTGATCAACGCCTTCGCTTCATTGCTGGGATCTGCCACAGCATTGTGGAGCCTCAGCGCTGTGGGGCAGTCAACGCAGTCAACGCAGTCAACGCAGTCAACGTCTCAATGTCCGCTGCGACCCTCAGAGACCACAGCCGAAGAAACGTCCGTGCAGGTTCTGTTTGGATTCATCTGTTTCTGTTTTGGAAATTCAGCGTTTGTGGAGGACAATCTCTTTTGTTTGACAATCTCCGGGTGCCAAGATGTAGCCGTGAGAGAAACTGCCTTTCTTCTTTGTGAGCATGAAGAGCTTCGGTAAGGAATGATCTATAAAAACTACTTAAAATCAAAGAACTGAGCAACTGAAATCATATAACAGCATCTAACAGCTACAAAATTGCATGAGTGCCGCCTGTTTCATGCGACGTGTGCATTTGTATGCATTGGTCACATGTTGGCAAACCCTCTCACGAGTCACGTTCCACGTGTCACATTCCGGTCTGAGTTCCCAGCAGGGTATGCTCCTTCCAGGCCAGCGGAACGTTCTCCTCAGACGTTGCTTCATGCCGAATGGGTGGCACTGTTGACAATATGCACCAAATGGTCCACAACGGTTTCGGAGATTTTGGAGATTTCACCATGAGACTACAAACCTACACAAACCTACCATATCAGAAAAAGAATCCAAAAAACGCTGTATCCGCCGACCCCGGCCGACGCAAGGGGGAGCGCGTAAGGGAAGAAGATGGAAGAAAAGGACTTGCAGCAGCCAGCAGGCATACTTGCAGCAGCCAGCAGGCATGTGAGGCAGCAGCAGCAGCAGCAGCAGCAGCAGCATTGAGCAAGAGTAACAGCAACAGAACTAGCAACAGCAACAGCAGCAACAACAACAACAAGAAGAACAAGAACAACAACAACAACAACAACAAGAAGAAGAACAACAACAACAACAACAACAAGAACAAGAACAACAACAACAACAACAACAACCACAAAGACAAACATAAACCCAAACAACAACAAACAACAATAACAAACAACACCAAACAACAATAAATAACAAGAAACAACAAGAAACAACAACCAACAACAACAAACCATGACCCTTTGCCGGGGGACTCTGTTGGGTCCCCCTCCGACCGGTCACGTACCTCGATTCCCTGACTCCGGGGTTTTTGTTTCACCGGTGGGGGGTCCTTCCCGGAGTCTCCTCGAAGTACGTGGGGCTCCTCGGGTTGCCCTTCCCGCCTGCCCTTTTTTTGGGTTCATGCTTGGTGGCTTCTTCGTCCTTCACTGCCATGGTGTTTCAGGCTGGCGGGTCTGGCGTTTTGGCGTGTCAGAAGCTGTAAGTTGAAGAGGTAGTTGAAGTGCTAGGTCTCTAGGATTTCAGAAGGGACGTTAGGGAGTTTTTTGGTGCGATTTGGTGGCTTCTTCGTCCTTCACTGCCTGGTATTTCAGGCTGGTGGGTCCGGCGTTTTGGCGGCTCAGAAGTTGTAAGTTGAAGAGCTAGTTGAAGAGCTAGTTGAAGAGCTAGGTCGCTAGGATTTCAGAGTGGACGTTAGGGAGTTTTTTGGTGCGATTTGGTGGCTTCTTCGTCCTTCACTGCCATGGTGTTTCAGGCTGGCGGGTCCGACAATTTTGGCGGCGCTGTAAGTCGAAGAGCTAGTTGAAGAGCTAGTTCTCTAGGATTTCGGAAGGGACGTCAAGCCTCGGGACAGCATTTGACTTCGTTGTGGAGCTGTTTTGAGGGCATGGGAGCTGGCAGCAGCAGTCACCGTTGGATGGATTGGATTGGATGCGATTTCTAGCAGGATAAGGAATGGGAGTGGTTTACTTTTAGCCGTCGCAGCTAGCCACCAGCAGCAGCAGCAGCAGCAGCAGCAATCAAAAGTGGATTGGAATTTGCACCAATGGGTGTCAAGAACGTAGGCAAGAGCACGCAAAAGGTGCACATAGCCAGTAGCTAGCAGCCAGCGCCAGTAGCAGCCAGCAGCCAGTAGCCTACCAAAAATCTAGATTTTTCTAGGATTTCAGACGACACGTTAGGCACTTTTTTGGCGTGGTTCTGGCACTCGCTCGTCCTTCAGAGCCCTGGTGCTTTCCCCCCCGGGAGGTGATTTGTTCGAACCTGTTTTACTGCTAGCAGCCGCCAGCAACAGAATCTATCGAAAAATTGTGTTTTTCTAGGGTGTCAGACGACACGTTAGGCACTTCTATATATATTGTATATATTTCTATAGGGTTTCAAACGTGACGTTTGGCAGTTTTCTCGTTTATATAGCACCAATGGGTGTCAAGAACGTGGGCAAGAGCACGCAAAAGGTGCACATAGGCAGTAGCTAGCAGCCAGCGCCAGTAGCAGCCAACAGCCAGTAGCCAGCAGCCTACCAAAAATCTAGCTTTTTCTAGGATTTCAGACAAGTTTAGGAGCAGGAGCCGCAGCAGCAGGAGGAAAAAGTAGCCAAAATCATCATGTTCTATGGGTTTCAGAAGTTACGTTAGGGCATTTTCGGGGTGCAATTTTGAGGCTTATGGGCAAGAGCACGCAAAAGGGCAGCAGCAGCAGCAGCAGAAGCAGCAGCAGCAGCAGCAGTTGTTTCTTGCTTTGGAAGCTGTTTGATTGCAGCAGCACGACAGCAGCACCACAGCAGCAGCAGCCACCAGCAGCAGCACCAGCAGGAGGCAGCAGGCCGCCGCAGGCAGCAGCAGGCAGCAGCAAGCATCAGTAGGCAGCAGCAGACACAAGCAGACGCAGCAGCAGTAAGCGCAACGGCAGCAGTGCAGCAGCTAGCAGCACGAAAAATTGTATTTTTCTAGGATGGCACCAATGGGTGTCAAGAACGTGGGCAAGAGCACGCAAAAGGTGCACATAGCCAGTAGCTAGCAGCCAGCGCCAGTAGCAGCCAGCAGCCAGTAGCCAGTAGCCTACCAAAAATCTAGATTTTTCTAGGATTTCAGACGACACGTTAGGCACTTTTTTGGCGTGGTTCTGGCACTCGCTCGTCCTTCAGAGCCCTGGTGTTTTCCCCCGGCAAGTGATTTTTTCGAACCTGTTTTACTGCTAGCAGCCGCCAGCAACAGAATCTATCGAAAAATTGTGTTTTCCAAGCAGACGCAGCAGCAGCAAGCGCAACGGCAGCAGTGCAGCAGCTAGCAGCACGAAAAATTGTGTTTTTCTAGGATGGCACCAATGGGTGTCAAGAACGTGGGCAAGAGCACGCAAAAGGTGCACATAGCCAGTAGCTAGCAGCCAGCGCCAGTAGCAGCCAGCAGCCAGTAGCCAGCAGCCTACCAAAAATCTAGATTTTTCTAGGATTTCAGACGACACGTTAGGCACTTTTTTGGCGTGGTTCTGGCACTCGCTCGTCCTTCAGAGCCCTGGTGTTTTCCCCCCCGGCAGGTGATTTTTTCGAACCTGTTTTACTGCTAGCAGCCGCCAGCAACAGAATCTATCGAAAAATTGTGTTTTTCTAGGGTGTCAGACGACACGTTAGGCACTTCTATATATCCTGTATATATTTCTATAAGGTTTCAAACGTGACGTTTGGCAGTTTTCTCGTTTATATAGCACCAATGGGTGTCAAGAACATGGGCAAGAGCACGCAAAAGGTGCACATAGCCAGTAGCTAGCAGCCAGCGCCAGTAGCAGCCAACAGCCAGTAGCCAGCAGCCTACCAAAAATCTAGCTTTTTCTAGGATTTCAGACGACACGTTAGGCACTTTTTTGGCGTGGTTCTGGCACTCGCTCGTCCTTCAGAGCCCTGGTGTTTTCCCCCCCGGCAGGTGATTTTTTCGAACCTGTTTTACTGCTAGCAGCCTCCAGCAACAGAATCTGTCGAAAAATTGTGTTTTTCTAGGATGTCAGACGACACGTTAGGCACTTCTATATATCTTGTATATATTTCTATAGGGTTTCAGACGTCACGTTTGGCAATTTTCTCATTTATATGGCACCAATGGGTGTCAAGAACATGGGCAAGAGCATGCAAAAGGGCAGCAGCAGCAGAAGCAGCAGCAGCAGCAGCTGCAGCAGCAGCAGCTGCAGCAGCAGTTGTTTCTTGCTTTGGAAGCTGTTTGATTGCAGCAGCACGACAGCAGCACCACAGCAGCAGCAGCCACCAGCAGCAGCACCAGCAGCAGGCAGCAGGCCGCCGCAGGCAGCAGCAGGCAGCAGCAAGCATCAGTAGGCAGCAGCAGACACAAGCAGACGCAGCAGCAGTACGCGCAACGGCAGCAGTGCAGCAGCTAGCAGCACGAAAAATTGTGTTTTTCAAGGATGGCACTAATGGCTAGCAGCCAGCGCCAGTAGCAGCCAGCAGCCAGTAGCCAGCAGCCTACCAAAAATCTCTAGATTTTTCTAGGATTTCAGACGACACGTTAGGCACTTTTTTGGCGTGGTTCTGGCACTCGCTCGTCCTTCAGAGCCCTGGTGTTTTCCCCCCCGGCAGGTGATTTTTTCGAACCTGTTTTACTGCTAGCAGCCGCCAGCAACAGAATCTATCGAAAAATTGTGTTTTTCCAAGCAGACGCAGCAGCAGTAAGCGCAACGGCAGCAGTGCAGCAGCTAGCAGCACGAAAAATTGTGTTTTTCTAGGATGGCCCCAATGGGTGTCAAGAACGTGGGCAAGAGCACGCAAAAGGTGCACATAGCCAGTAGCTAGCAGCCAGCGCCAGTAGCAGCCAGCAGCCAGTAGCCAGCAGCCTACCAAACATCTAGATTTTTCTAGGATTTCAGACGACACGTTAGGCACTTTTTTGGCGTGGTTCTGGCACTCGCTCGTCCTTCAGAGCCCTGGTGTTTTCCCCCCCGGCAGGTGATTTTTTCGAACCTGTTTTACTGCTAGCAGCCGCCAGCAACAGAATCTATCGAAAAATTGTGTTTTTCTAGGGTGTCAGACGACACGTTAGGCACTTCTATATATCTTGTATATATTTCTATAAGGTTTCAAACGTGACGTTTGGCAGTTTTCTCGTTTGGTGGTTAAGTACATCCTCCAATCATCATCGACTTGAGATGTCACATCTCAAACAGTGGTGGAAAAGGAAAACCGAAAAGCTCCCATCATGATCATCATGCTTAGCTTCGCAATGTCTTGCCAAGCCATTCTTGGGCTGCGGCATTGGTACTTCTTGCATCTTCTTGTGTTGTTGCTGCAATGTTGGTCAGCAACTAGCAAAGAAGAATCTGTTTTCAAGCTAGGTGTTGCATCTTAACTGCCCAGAATCACGTATGGTGGATCAGCTACATTTGGCTACTTGTTGAACCAGCAAAATCCCTATACCAAGGGGCCCAGCTTCTTCAAAAATTGCACCCCGGAATCTACGACTCGCAGGGTGCAATTGATATATTTCTTAGGTTGGTACCAAGATTTCCCTGCTTCAACAAGTAACCAAATGTAGCTAATCCACCATACTTGCTTCCGGGGTCGGCGGCAGGGGCGGCAGCCCTTAAATAAATTTCAAATGTGACAGATTTACCTATTGTTCTTGCGTGTGAAAAGGAATGCAATCATGTTGACGTTTGCCACTCATGGCTGAAGTTGATACGGCACGGGCATGAATAAGTGTACTCTGTACTCCATCAATACAAACTTGTGTAATTAGTCACATGACACTGTTCAACGAGTCAACCCACCACAGCTATCACTCAGCTTCTCATGAACCAAGAATCGATAACGCCGTGCTCAATGGCAAACTTTGAGCCTGGATGCGAACATAAGCCACACACATGGAATTAGAAAAAGTATGATGGAAAGTAAAATGGTTTGCATGGCCACCTGAACCAACACAAGGAAATGACCTGCATTTCCGGCCATTGTTGAGGGGAGGAAATGGTGTTTCCGTTCACGCACTTTTGTAAGGCTTTCAAGCACAAGAACAAAACTTGCAGCGCCGAAACTCTTGGAGTCCAAGCAACCATTGAAGTATGGATTTCCTGCATAGCCGCTACAAAGTCCACCACCAAAGTTGTAGACCATCACAGGATGCGGCCCCGATGAATTGGAAGGTCTCCAAATATTCCTTTGCAGCCCAATTTTTGGAAAAACACTTTTGACTCACTGTGACTGTTTGAGACTTTGACTTACTTGATCAATGCTGGATTGAGGACCGCCGCGGCGAGACTAAGGCCCGCTCAAATGTAAGCAGTCCTCATTGGGTGAAGGTGGAGAATCTGCATCCAGCGGCATGGACCGCGGGTCTCCAAGAGGGTTGTTGATGCAGGGAGCTCCCGTTTTGCGAGCCTGACATATTTTGCATTTCAAGAAAAGCATGCGTCGTATGGGAAAACAAAAAGACACGAGTTTGCCAATCGATTTTACTGTCGCTTGCTAGTCAAGCAGCATCCAAACGCCCTGCGGGCCACGGAGTGTCAAAAAGCTCGGCCACGGCGAAACGCCTCTTTCCCAGTGGCGGCTGAGCATACGGGATGCCCCCATAACGCTCCTCAGCGTCACTGAACTTCCCCGATTTCCAACCTGCTCTCTAAAGATGTATTCGTCTGCACTAAAGATTGCAGAAGCTTCCCTGGAATATGAAGAGCTGACATTTGTAAATTCCATGGCTTATGAAGCTTTATCAATCACGCTTTATCAAGCCCCATTCCCCCATTCCAGGGCGGAGCGAAGGAAATAAAGTCAGACTGCATGGGCCAAGCTGCCACTCCGTCAGCGGCGAAAATTCCTTCTGCCACACCCAGCGGAGTCTTGACTGAAGGCAGAGCGCCAACCCGCCTTGGCAAAGCACAGGTGTGGAGAGAACATGAGAGAACTGCACAAGGAAGCAGAAGGAAGACCATGGATCCCCAACAATTTTTGCAAATCTTGAGCCGACAAAGCTTGAAAGTTTCGAAAGTGTTGCCAGCTTGGATTTCAATGCTCTCTGCTTAGACCCGGACAATGCGAGAAGGCAGGAAAGGACACCAGCGCATGTCCAGCACCGGAACGACATCATAATGTATCAGCAAAAGCAAGTTACACCATGACCCAAAGGCTTCTCCAAGGATGTCATGCCTAATAGACCTTTCTTACATATGTGTCATGTTTACATGTTTGCGGCTGCTTGCAGGCAACTTAACCATCTGATTCTTCAAAGCACCGCATGAAAACAGATGGTCGAATGTGGGCGCTACCGTGCCTGTGTTTGGCTATTGTGATTAGATGTGGTTAGCATGCAAATTTCAAATGAGCCAACATCATGGCAACATGGTCCCCTCTAAATACTGGATCACTTCCCCATCAACTGGAAATGCCTTTCCTTGGCTGCTCCGGGAATTGACGTTTCTCAAACTCTCAAATTCTCAAAGTGTCATTGACTGCGGTCGTAGTTTTTTTTCCTTCCGCATGGTCGCTCACGGATTGATGTCCAAAACCTCGTGCGCAAGGTCATGGCCGTTCATAGGGCGGCGCAGTACATAGCAATCAGGTGGATCAATGTTGTGATAGTAGTCACAAATCTTCTCCGTCACCTTGAAACCAAACTTCTTGTAAAACTGCAATGCAGTTTTGTTGGATGTTTGCACATGCAAATAGATCTCTCGAACATCTTTCTCCTGGCATTCCTTGCTCTGTGCTCTGTCCAGTATCCACTGGACCAGCTGGGATGCCAAGTTGCGCTTCCTATAGGGCTCCAAAATGGAAAGGGTCATGATGTATAGAGCCTTGCCACCATCTTCTCTGTCCTCTAATCGGCAGCACATGGACCCAACCAGAACATCTGCATAGAAGCCGAGGCGACAATAGTCAAAGTACTTCACCAGGTCCAGGTAGAACTGGTCTTTGTATTTCACTGGGAAGGTAGCTGTGTTGAGTTTCTTCAGCTGGCCCATGTTCTTCTCTGTGAGGTTGCCCAGGTCGAGCTTCAACGCTTTCCGCCTGCCTTCATCCTCCATGGTGAGACGTCCTAAGGGACTCGAGCCAGAGCTCCTTTCTTCAACTGCAGACACATACAGCCAGTCACAAACATACTCACAAATAATCACAAATAATCACAAACATCCAAAATCATCCAAACCTATATGCAACCTATTCCAAACTCAGCCAGCTGGGAATTCCATGAAATTCTGGCAGAGGTCATGAGTTCAAAACATTAAGCTTGGAAATTTGAGCCTGAGATCACAGTAAGTTAAGTAAGTTTCTTATCTTCCTCTGGACTTGAACCATACAGAATGAACCCAGCGCGCCACTTCGCACCTGTCCAAGCAAAAACGACAGCTTCTCACGACCCTGTCGGTCCCTCTGCGGCTCTCGGCGATTCTGGAGCCAAACCAAATAGCCTCGATACAATGAGCACAGAAATGCACAAAAGCATCTGGAAATATCTGCGAATATCCGTACAATCTTCCAAGTTCTCCTCCCAATTGTCTGAACCCAACTCTAACATGGAAACGAAAGTGTGATGTATGTGATGGTTGGTCGTCCTGTTACATCTTCAACTTCATTGGTCACACAAATGTGGAGAAGCACAGAGACAGGTGCGGCACGGGAGGTGGAACTCTCTACTCGAATCGCAGCACGCAGCACATTCCAGGCCTTCCATAGCCCGAGCGTGTACGTTGGCCATGGCCTTTTTGTGACACTCAGCTTCTGCAAAACCAAGCGCCTGCGCGGCACTGACCAGCACTGCGCTACCCCCGTACAAGCCCATGCCATGTCCAAAACCCAGGTGTTCGTTGCGTTTTTGGGAAGAACACAACAATGGACCATTCTGAGTCATTCTGAGACATGCTCTGCAAGAATTGCTAAGATCCATGCTGCTTTTGTTCTAGGTTTCTAGGGTTTTAGATGGTTTTGGCATGTTTTGGCGAAAAACTCACAATGATGGACCATGACCCCTAGCTGCCACAGCCATCATAGCCCACATCATATGCTTTTCTGTTCATGGCGGCCTGCAGGCTAAGGGCTTCGCACTCCACCTGTGGAATTGAAATGCTGTGTGCCTTCACAGAATTTCTTAGAATGCTGAGTCTGCTGAATCAAGCTTCTCTATGCTTCTCTTATATCATTCTTTTTAGCTGATTCAAAGTGAACCTCAGCGAAGGCCTGATGCCAGAGACGCCGAAATTGCGCTGAATGATGAGCAGCAAGGTGGAATGAGGCCTGGGTCCATGATAAGTTGCACATTGTTTGCATCTCTGGTTGCAACTTTCCAAATACTCAGATATTGGCGCTCACTTTTCTCACCTAGGGCGAAGTACTAGAAAAGTCAGTAGACCTGGAGTTGCCAGGACATCTACGGCATCTACGGTGTTCATCCTGCATTCAAGCGATATCAAGCAACATATAGCAGCTATATATAGCAACGTTCACAAAGAGGTCTTGTTGATGGTTGCTGGGGAGAATGGGCTCTGAGAGAAAGATGCCTCAGACATGCCAGGTGAAGATCTGGCGTTCGATTTGAAAGAAAAGCGGGATCAAGTGCCCAACTGTCCCAACTGTCCCAACTGTCCCAACTCAGTTGCCACTCGAGATTCACGAGTTGGCTCGACCGTTGTTGGAAGCTCAGCGGGTGTCTCCCAATCCTCTGTTTTCCAGTCAAACTCCTCCAGTTCCGGGAGGTCATTGCAGCTAGAAAGTTGACGTCTCGTATCTGCAAATTGCATAAGAAGTATCTGCCTGATTTCCTCAGACCTGGCCAATTGCAACGGGGTACGGCCACGGGAATTCTTCAAGTTGACATCTCCTTTGGCATCTAAAAATAGTTCAACAAGCTGTCTGCATTGAAATAAACATGCCATGCCCAAAGGGCTGGTGCTCCATTCGGCTGTAGCCTCCATGAAAAGGGAGCGAGCCTTTACAAATTGAATGTAAGTTCTGTGCAGAAGTTCCATGCCGTACAACAAACCACTGGCTGAGCACTGTTGGTTTACATCGGCTCTGGCTGCCAGAAGCAATTGCGCTATCTCCAGAGCATGTGAGTTTGAACTTGCATTCAAGCAAACAAAGGATAGCGGCTGGGCAATTCCAAGTCCAGCAACTCGTGGACCATTTGGAGAAGCGCGACACTCCAAGAGCTTCGCAATCACTTCAGGCCGGGTGTTCTCTCCACTTGCCAAAGCTATGACCGGGACATTCAGAGGCCACGCTCTTTTGCACACATCTGCCTGATATCTCACCAAAAGCTCCACATCTTTTGCTGTGCGGCAACATGCCAAGAGCGGTACCCCTAATGCAGAGAGGTTAGGGTTTGCCTTTGCCTCAAGAAGGATCTTGAGGATTTGCGGTGAACGCCAGGCTTGCATCACTACTATGTGCATAGTAGTTAGACCATTTGCAATGCCCACCTCTGGCATTGCTTTGAAGGGTTTGTCTACTGAACAGCGCGCTTCTAGGAGCAACTTCAGCACATCAGCATCTCCACTGAGTGCGGCTGCAGCCACGGGGCTAAAGCTGCTCTTCTTTGATGCTTTCAGTGATTTGTACCGGAAGTTTTCAAGAAATTCCGCCATGCTTCTGGGCTGGAGGGTAGTCCCTATGAGGGTGTCTTTGCGGGAAAGAAAATAGCGGTACAAGCTCAAGTCTGCTTCATGTTCAAGCCAACTAAGTTGGTGGGACAAGGCTTGCTTGAAAATGCTGGTGACAACTTCTCTGTCGGTTGAAACGGAGAACTCGCCTTCGTGGGGCACACAATCCACCCAGTTCACAGGTCTGGCAAAAACACCTTGGAATTCACCAGAGATCACGAGCGCTGGCACGTCCATGTTTCCAAGCATCATCTTACACCACAATTCCGTTCGGCACCACCCGCGCTTGCTCCAGCTTCTGTAGTTGCAGATCTGGTTGGAATCCTTGTGCTTGATTGGAGGCACTAAGGCTACAAAAACTTGGCATGCCTGAACAAAGGAAGGGATGGATAGAATGAAGTCTTCCTGATCAGTTCTTCGCGGTCTTGCTGGGGCGCTATAAGCAAATGTGCGGGAGGAGCGCTGACGCTTTGCAGCGCTGATCTCATCATCTGGATCCTCGTCGTGAAATGTTTCTATTTGAGGAATGCTCACCCAGTCAAGCCAAATAAAGCCTTCACGTACTCGGGTCCTTTGCTCCTTTGATAATATCCTAAAATCTCCAAAAAACTGCGAAGCTGGATCATTTTGGACAGAAATGGTGCCGTTGCAAATGTTTTGCAGGCACTTTTGCAGCACTAGGAGTTGTTCCCCTTCAGGATCTGGATGTTCCAGCGAGAGCCATTGGTGTGAAACAAAAATGCAATATGAAAGCACTCCCCGTGGATACAACAAGCCCTGGGCCTGCAACTCCTCATGCTTTGGCAGTGGGAGTTCCATCTGCAGAAAGTCAGAGACCTTCAAGACCCACATGATGATGAAGGGTTCAATCTCTTGGTGGACGGTGTGCGTCGCACAACACCCCATGGCTGCAATTGATCAGTCGATCAATCGAAAATCACACGAAATAACTACATACGACGATGGGTGAAACAATGCAAAGACATATACAACTGGAACCAGACGTGGCGAAATCACACATATCACACATTCCTTCTGTGCTGTGGATCACTTGCATTGACAGCAGTTGTTTGAAAAGGCATTCTACATTTATGAAAATCTCGAAACAGTCTACTGCACGACCGCGGTGTTTGGGACACACTTGACAGCTCCCTGTTTGCATCTGCTTGTATCAGAGCCTGTTCTTTCCCCATGTTGCGCTTCTTGGAGCTGACCTCCCAACTTGTGGATGGGATAGAAAGGCAGCAGGCATATCTCATGCCAAAACTCAACTGAGAATCAAATGCTTGAACGGTGGGTCGGACTTATAAATAGTGATGGCAATCACAAACATATCCTCTGACTGCTTGCAGCATGCCGTTTTGATGCTTGGGCAATGTTATCACCTATTGCTCTCACGTGGAAAGTTTGCAAAGTTTGCAAAGTGCGGAGCACGAGCTAAGAACCAAATGCAGAACATGTTCCACACTCCCAGAGCTGTGCAGCAAAACCAAAAACTTAATTGCCAAGCTTGAAAATACAATGGACCATGGACATGATACCTTTGAACCTGCATCCTTACCTTGACCTGAATAGCCCAGCTTCCAATCATGGAACCTAGACCTAGATGTTTGGAACCGTCTTTAAATCAGATTCAAAATCAGAACCCTTCAATTCAAGCTTGGAACCTGCGGAATTTAATTCACACTTCAGGGGGTCCAGGCCAATGGCTAGAGACGCAGCACTGAACAGTGGCACGTTGCAGTGCCATCACTAATCTACCTCCATGCGGTCCCTGCGTGTGGACTGCAGATGCCCAAGGCCCAAACCTGCCTGAAGTACAAGAGTGATTGCTGGAGCGCCCTCCTGCCAACATGACTCCTTGAGCACTGTCTGCTACTCGAACCCGAGTAAAATGTCGAACTGATCTATAGACGGAGTGAAGCCATGTGGCTGGAATTGTATCTCCGTGCTTGCCGCACAAAAAGCAAGAAAACGTTAGAAAACTTTATGTTTCTCCTTTTCTTCACCAGCCTTGGCACACATCTCAGAAGCAAAGAATTTTGGCAGGTGTTCTTAGGGTTTGTTCCAATCCAGACGCATAGGGCTGTGTGATGATCCCGTGTCTCGTGTTCACGGCCCTCCCGCCCTGTGTGGTGTAGGGTTTATACATATACCAGGAGAAGGCGGGGGACCAAAGCCAGCCCCCGCAGCTTGGCAACGGCAGCACGACTTTACGTGACATCAAATGCGTCCTGTAGTATGGTACTCAACAAAGTTAATGCGCCACAACAACAGTCACAAAATAAACAAAGAACACTGCCTCGTATTTAAGAAAACCTGGGGGAGTCAGATTTAACATTTAACACAGTCAGTGTCTGTGACTAGTCTTGTTTACGCCATTGTCACATCCAAAAGGGCACCCAAACTCTTTGAGTGACACTCTCGACAGTCTTGGTACGACATGTCACTGTCATCAGCAGGCATTAAGGTAATGAACTACCAAGTAGACCATTAACCATTAACCACTAACGATTGTTCTACCCTTCTGGTAGACACTCCCAGTGAGACATTCTTACAAGGACACTCTTCAAGCAACACTCTTAGTAAGACACTCTTGGAAAAGCCTTATGGTAAGACACTTTCAGTGAGACATTCTTACAAGGACACTCTTCAAGCCACACTCTTAGTAAGACACTCTGAGTAAGACACTCTTGGAAAAGCCAAATGCACAGGTTGGCAGGCGAAATGCACGAGCTTAGACTAGACATATATAGATGTTGGTTTCTTGATTCTGTACATGCGATATACGTATATGTATATAACGTATATATACATGTAGATGTGTATGTATGAAGGTATACTATGAGGAGGATATACTATGGTACTCAACAAAGTTAATGCGCCACAACAACAGTCACAAAATAAACAAAGAACACTGCCTCATATTTAAGAAAAATTGGGGGAGTCAGATTCAACATTTAACACAGCCAGTGTCTGTGACTAGTCTTGTTTACGCCATTGTCACATCCAAAAGGGCACCCAAACTCTTTGAGTGACACTCTCGACACTTTGGTATGACACGTCACCGTCATCACCAAAGTAACCATTAACCACTAACCGTTATCCTACCACTAATTATTGTTCTACCCTTTTAGTAAGAACCTCTCAGTGAGACATTCTTACAAGGACACTCTTGCAGCGACACGTTTCGTAAGACACTCTTAGTGAGACACTCTTGGAATAACACGCTTGGTAAGCCACTCCTTGAATCGCAGTACACCTGCCACCCCCTTTTTTTAAACCGGACCCCCCGTTTTTTTTAAAGGGGTGGTCAGGTAAAGCCCCCCCCCCCGGTTTTTTTTTAAACCTGACAGCCTGCTGTTAAGAAAAAGGAAGTCAGGTGTACCAAGGTAAGACACTCCCACCTCCTCGAAAACAACACCTCCGCACCAACGCCTTTTCCCCGTTCCCCCACCTAATTCTGGCCTCCCCCTTCAAACAGGGTACATTTCGGGAGCCCTCCCCCCAGACCCCCTAGATTAGCTTCGCCATAGCTTCGCCTTTTGCAGACCCTCCAGCCTAAGGATTCGGCTGGCTTTCGGAACAGATATATACACACCCATGTATATACATAAATATTGACATGTATATATACAAATATACATGTAAACATTTTTACATAAATACATATATACATATATGCAAATATACATATTTACACATGCATGCATGCAGACAGACATACATACATACATACTTGGGTACATTACATTACATTACATCACATTACATTGCATTACATTACATACATTACACACATTACATACATTACATACATTACATACATTACATACATTACATACATTACCTACATTACCTACATTACATACGTTACCTACATTACCTGCATTACCTACATTACATACATTACATACATTACATACATTACATACATTACATACACTACATACATTACATACATTACATACAGTACATACATTACATTCATTACATACATTACATTACATTACATTACATTACATTACAGTACATACATTACATTACATCACATCACATCACATCACATTACATACATACATACATACATACATTACATACACTACATACACTACATACACTACATTCAGTACATACATTACATTCATTACATTCATTACATTCATTACATACATTACATACATTACATACATTACATACATTACATACATTACATACAGTACATACAGTACATACATTGCATACATTGCATACATTACATACATTACATACATTACATACATTACATACATTACATACATTACATACATTACATACAATACATGCATTACATGCATTACATGCATTACATGTATGACATGCATTACATGCATTACATGCATTACATGCATTACATGCATTACATTCATTACATTCATTACATACAATACATACAATGCATACAATACATACATTACATCCATTACATACATTACATACAGTACATACACTACATACATTACATACATTACATACATTAGATACATCACATACATCACATACATCACATTCATTACCTACATTACCTACATTACGTACATTACGTACATTACGTACATTACGCACATTACGCACATTACGCACATTACGCACATTACGTACATTACGTACATTACGTACATTACGTACATTATGTACATTACGTACATTACGTACATTACGTACATTACGTACATTACATACATTACATACATTACATACATTACATACATTACACGCATTACATACATTACATACATTACATACATTACATACATTACATACATTACATACATTACATACATTACATACATTACATACATTACATACATTACCTACATTTCCTACATTACCTACATTACCTACATTACCTGCATTACCTACATTACATACATTACATACATTACATACATTACATACATTACATACATACATACCATACCATACCATACCATACCATACATTACATACCATACCATACCATACCACACCACACCATACCATACCATACATACATCCATTACATACATACATACATACATACATTACATTACATTACATTACATTACATTACATACATACATACATACACTTACGTATATAATTTATGTTCCAAATGTGTATATATATATATATGTGTGATATATATATATATATGTATGTATGTATGTATGTATGTATGTATGTATGCATGTGTGATATATATATATATATATATGTGATTTATTTATACATGCATATAGGTACACACATACTTATGTAGTTGTGTATAAATAAAAAATATACATATGTATACATTTACAAAAAGGGACCATCACCATTTCGGGGGGAGGGGGGGACCACCAGACACTTGGCCATATATGTGCGTACCTATTTATACAGTCATGTGTATACTTCTTTTTATATTTGAAGTGGAGCTCTGCAAACCGCAAACCAACGTGGATTGCACTGGGCCACAAGCCACTGCTCGAAGCCCACCAAGCTGCTGTGGTATCTAGCACGGATACTGCTACGAAGTACTGCTAGACAAATATATGACAAATCTGGCATTGAGAACTGTGGGCCACAGGCTGAGCACTTCTTTAAAAGTTGTGTGGCTTAGAAGACTAGCATGTATATACGTCCGCACTTCATTGCAATTCATCGCACTTCATCGCGCTTCATGGAATGTGTCAAGAAGGCATCGTGTCGTGCCATGTCTTGCCATGTCTTGCCTTCATTGCAATCTTGACCCTGGACTGGCTATTTGGCCTCATTGCAGGAGACCAGAGTCACCAAGGATAATCAAAATGAGCCCAACAACTGGCTCAAACAGACTCGACCCGCTGCATCTGTCAGGTGTTTTTGGGGTTACTGGAAGGACAGCTCCCGAGGGTGGAGGTAATATGGTGTGACATACAAATCTTGAGAACTTTCCTTCTACCTATGTCATCACCAAGAAGGTAGCAAGCTTGACATCGTCCCTGGGCCAGAGCACATTTCACCGGCCATGCTGCTCGAAGGTGACTCGCTTGCCAAGGTGCTTGAAGATGGCACCTGCAAATGCCAATTGAACTCAATGGATCTCATCAGTGGACAAACGGGTATCTTGATCCCTCTTGATTTTGGCAATGCAACGAATATCAGAGACTTGAGGCCAGGGGTAGATGACGAAAGCTAACAGGGGAAGTTGAATCAGGGGCCAGTGTTTATGGGCTGAGAGGAGGCAATGAGTGTACACAGAATAATATGTGCACATCCTTATCGTCCTGTTGCGGTAGGTCAGGCAAAGACGTTTCCAGGCATATGGCAGGTTTGGCCTGGAAACGTGTGGTTGGACAGGAAAGTAGGTGTTGTGCGGGGGCAGGGAGGATTTGCTGAAGCGGCAAGCAAAAAATGGATATGTTCAAGGGTTTGGTGAGGAAAGAATACGCCTAGAGCAGATATGATGACGATGACTTCAAGTTCAGGGACCGGGAGGGGATCGAGACCATGACCATTTGATTGCAAGACCGCCAGGGGGGACCCTCCGCTCGACGTAAGAGTCTCACATGCGAGGTGGTTCCAGCCATAGACATTTTCTGACCGCTTTCGTGATCAGTTGAAACACAAATATCAAGTTGGAGCATGCCTGCGGTACAGTCAAAGACTTTGCCAGGCCGGCAGGAGCCTCAGTACCAGCACAGGTGGCGCATGAAATTCTGTGGACACCTTGCAAACAAAACCCCTCATGCTACGGTAAAGAGCCGCAATACCAGTCAGATAGATAGATAGATAGAAAGATAGATAGGTAGATAGATAGATAGATTAGATAGATAGATGGATTAGATAGATAGATAGATAGATAGATAGATAGATAGATAGATAGATAGATAGATAGATAGATAGATAGATAGATAGATAGATAGATAGATAGATAGATAGACAGATAGATAGATAGGTAGATAGATAGATAGATAGATAGATAGATAGATAGGATAAGATAAGATAGATAGATAGGTAGATAGATCGATCGATCGATAGATAGATGGATAGATGGATAGATAGGTAGATAGATAGATAGATAGACAGATAGATTAGATAGATTAGATAGATTAGATTAGATTAGATTAGAACAGATTAGATTAGATTATATTAGATTAGATAGATAGAAAAGACTAGATTAGATTAGATTAGATAAGATTAGATTAGATTAGATCGATAGATCGATAGATCGATAGATCGATTAATTAGATGGATAGATAGACAGATAGATAGATAGATGGATGGATAGATAGATAGATAGAGAGAGATAGATAGATAGATAGATGGATGGATGGATAGATAGATAGATAGGTAGATAGCTAGATAGCTTGATAGCTTGATAGGCAGATAGACAGATAGACAGATAGACAGATAGACAGGTAGATAGATTACATAGATAGGTGGATAGATTAGATTAGATTAGGTTAGGTTAGGTTAGGTTAGATTAGGTAGATAGATAGATAGATAGATAGGTTGGATAGGTTAGATAGATTAGATAGATTAGATAGATTAGACAGGTTGGATAGATTAGATAGATTAGATAGATTAGATAGATTAGATAGATTAGATAGATTAGATAGATTAGGTTAGATAGGTAAGATAGGTAAGGTAGGTCGGATAGGTAAGATGGGTAAGACAGGTAAGATGGGTAAGATGGGTAAAATAGGTAAGATAGGTAAGACAGGTAAGATAGGTAAGATAGGTAGGATGTGTAAGATAGGCAAGGTAGGTCGGATAGATAAGAAGGACAAAAAAGTAAGATGGATAAGATAGATAAGATCGATAAGAAAGATAAGACAGCTAAGATGGATAAGATAGATCAGGTAGATCAGGTAGATAAGAGAGATCAGATCGATAAGAAAGATTAGATGGATTAGGTAGATTAGATAGATTAGATAGGTGAGATAGATAAGTAGATAGGTAGATAGGTACATAGATCAGATAGAAAAATAGATGAGATAGATAGGATAAATACGATAGGTAAGATGGTAAGATAGGTATGTAAGATAGATAAGATAGGTCAGATAGATAAGACAGAGAAGATGGACAAGATAGATAAGATAGATCAAGATAGATAAGATAGACAAGATAGTTGAGATAGGTCAGATAGACCAGATAGATAAGATAAGATCGGTAGGATGGAAAGGTAGATAAGAAAGATAAGATAGATAAGAAAGATAAGATAGATGAGATAGATAAAATAGATAAGATAGATAGGATAGATGGATGGATGGATGGATGGTTGGATGGATGGATGGATGGATAGATAGATAGATGGATAAGATAGAAAGATAGAAAGATAGATAGATAGACAGATAGATTAGCTTAGCTTAGCTTAGCTTAGCTTAGCTTAGCTTAGCTAGATAGATAGTTAGATAGGTAGGTAGATAGATCGATAGATAGACAGATAGATAGATAGATAGGTAGATATAGACAGATAGATACATACATACATACATATATATATAGATAGATAGATAGATAGATAGGTAGATAGGTAGGTAGATAGGTAGATAGGTAGATAGGTAGATAGGTAGATAGGTGGGTAGGTAGATAGGTAGGTAGATAGGTAGGTAGATAGGTAGGTAGATAGGTAGGTAGATAGGTAGGTAGGTAGATAGGTATGGATAGACGGATAGACAGTAGACGGATAGACGGATAGACGGATAGTCGGATAGATGGGTAGATGGATAAAAGGGTAGTATGGTAGTATGGTAGTGCAGGTATAGTGACATAGGCGACAGACGAAGACGAAGACGACGCTTTTGGAAAGTTGATTTGCTTGATTTAGTATGAAGACAAGCTCAGAACTCCAGGGCAACCACATTTAGCTGGACAGTGCGTCGTGCCACGCTCATTCGTGCCGCGACACCTGGCAAGACAGCACAATCTCTCTGACCCTCAAACCATTGGGAAGGCGACGAAGGCGGAGAACCAAGAAATCGAATGGTCGAAAGACCAGATCTGACCTTTCTCCTGCAATCCTGTCTCTGCTTGAACTTGTGATTTCTTACAAGCAGAACATCACATCCAAGCAGCACAAGCAGTCAGGCATACTTTCACGTGAGGCTGCCTAAGTGAATCGATTCCCGTGACAAGACAATGTTTTGGGCAAGTATGCATCTATATGACTTGACCTTCTCTGTCTGCATAATAGTGCGACTCCTCACATTTAACCCCTATAGCTTTCAATGTTAAATAACCCTACATGTCTGAGACCTCAAGTTTTGGTCTTGCTGGTCTATGCAGCAAATTTGAAGTTGTGTTGGAATGCCGCCGTCGGATTGCTGAGGCAGAAGCCAAGCTTTCCATCTCCATTCCCTGACGGCATCCACTGGCATCCACTGGGAATCGGGTGGCTTCGGTGGAGTCTGGTGTCACCGTGACCGGGTGTCACCTGCCCCGGCGGCTTCTCCACTTGGCGGCTTCTCCAAACAATCATACAACGGTAACACCTCAGAAAGATGCCAAAAGACTTGCTCAGGAGTGAGGTTGGAGGCTTCGCAGAACAAGGAAGCGCTGCAAAATATGTCAGATAGACAAGAAAAGCGACTGCATAATACTGCAAAAAATACAAGGCGGGTATCAAATGATTGATTGCTGCCCGTGTGTTCTTCACTATTTTGTGCATTCTGGTTTGAGAACTCAGAGAGTTGAGCCAAAGAAAGACCAAGAAAGATCAATTAATGCACAGGAAGTAACCTCTCTCAATTCGAAAAATATTTGGTTCAGTCATTTGAGGAGGGGAACTAACTGGGGAAATAGATGACCTACCCGTCAAATCCGTCACAAGCATGACATCCAACTCCCGTACAACAAAGGGTGTGACTATGTGGCAAATCTCATGATTGGTTCATTCCAACTTTCGCGCCTAGAATGACTGACGGAGAAATTGATACATGTGTAATCCGCCGACCCCAGGGAACCAGGGGGAGCGCGTCTGAGAAGCAATGCCAAATGGGCAAGAAAGAGGGCGCGACGACGGATGAAGAACGGAAGCAACGTTCCGGAGGCTTGAAGGCTGCAATTTGGTTTCGCCGACGCCGGCGCCAAGGTTGCGGAAGAATGCAGGTTGCAATTTGGAGCTATTTTCTTGTCGATTCAGAAAGCCGTCTGTCGAAGGAGCTCGTCCGGCCTTCCCTCGCATGGTGTTTGGAACTGGCGAGTTCACGATTAAAAGAGGGTGCCACGACGGATAACAAACGGAAGCAACGATCCGGAAGCTTGAAGGCTGCAACTCTAGTTTCTGTTAGAAAGCAACGTTGGGCAGAGGCAATTGCCAGCCAAAGGCCCCGTCGTCCTTTAGTTTCGTGGTGTTACGGTGCTGCGAGGACAAGGTTTTGGAGGCTTGCAAGTTGGAATTTGGAGCTATAGATTCTAGTCGCATCAGAAAGCGACGTTACAATAGGCACTGGCAGCCGTCTGTCAAAGGCTTCGTCCGTACTGCAGTTCCATGGTGTTTCTGTGCTGCGAGGCCAAGGTTCTGGAGGCTTGCAAGCTGGAATTTGGAGCTAGATTCTAGTCATGTCAGAAAGCGACGTTAGGCACTGGCAGCCGTCTGTCGAAGGCCCCGTCCGTCCTTTAGTTCCATGGTGTTTCGGTGCTGCGCGGCCATGCTTGCAAGCTGGAAGTTGGAGCTAGATTCTAGTCGCGTCAGAAAGTGACGTTAGACATTGGCTAAAGTGGTATTCAACCATTTAGACCATGACTCACATGCACAGCTTCGCCCGTGCGACCCAGGGGTTGGCGGCAGGGGGCGGTAGCCCCTTAATTATAAACGTTCACTCCAAAATCTATTCTTTTCTGCAGATTGGAAGAAAACATGTGTCATCATCAAGTTCTTGAAACTCGTATATGATTTAACAATGTAACATATATATACATGTGTGTGGCCAAGTTCCACAGAACCTGGTACAAAGCTGGGTCCGCACACCATATCAAGACGAGCAGTACAAAGCCAACCCCAATCAAGATAATCTGGCAGCCGATTCGACTGAACTGAGTCTTCTTGCCTACTCCTTAGTCAGTCTTCAAAACAGCATGCCTCGTCCCATGTTGGCATCAACCTGTGGCAAAAGCCACTGAAGTTCGGATCCTCGCAATTCAAAGTCAGAGTGCAAAGTTTCTGGTGTATGGCCATCACAGGTCAATTCCTGCGTCCTTCAGCAATTCGTTTGATTCCAGCTCCTGGTCGGCCACCCCATCCTGACAGAACAACAATGCACCCGACTCACCTGACCTGCGAGAACTGCACCATTTCAGTACTGTCCTCAAAGCGGAAGCCTTTCCAACTTTCACCTGACAAACAGCAAAGTCTCAGCCATGCTGGTTGGCAGTGGCTTGAGACCCTGGCCTCCGAAAGACAAGAAGCGGACATCGATGCAGTGAGTCCTGACAGAAATGAATGCAAGGCAGGATGCTCGTGGGGGCATGTTCAAAAAGCATTCGCTCTGCATCTGTCCCGAAGGAGTCATATTGTGCGTTAAGACCATACCACTCGAGGTGACAGCGCTTGTCGCTCGCAACATCATCACAAATGCCACCAATGTTCCTTGGCGAAGCGTGTCAACTGGGAAAAGTCAGGTCAAGTAGCACAGAATGCTCCAAGGCTCTGAGAAAAAGGATTCGAGGGCAATCCGCGCTGGGCTGCACAGCGGTCCCAATCATCCGCCCATTGGTCGATGACTACACCTCCCAAGGTGCAGTGATAGTTCCTCGGATCACTGCAGTCATGGTGGAGATCTCAACAAGGAAGCCATGGTCCAACCAACATCACAAACCACTGTGGCCTTTGGGGCTTGAAGTTTTGTGAAAATGTAAGTATTATATATATATATATTATATATATATAGTAATATATATAGTAATATAGTTATAATAATTATATATATATAATTCTATGTATATATATATATGTTATATATATATATACATTAAATATGTTGATATCATATTATTATAATATATTAAAGTAATACGCACACCTCATACTCTTCAACCTCAGCGCCTGATCCGTCTTCTAAACATGGAAGTTTTCATGGATTAATTCGAAGGTGAGTGGATGCCCACTAAATGCACACCAAGCTGCTTCTCTCCAATGCGGTTCTGCCAAACCTATACGAAAGAGAGTGCAACCAGAAAAGCTGCTCAACTGGCTCAAACAAGAAATCCTAGCCAAACTTGCGGTGCAGCTGTTTTCCTGTGTAGCTTGACTACATTCCGAACGTAGCTTCAACACACAAAGAAAAATCCTTGAGCTGCTCGCCTCTCTCAGTGCGCTCTGTTGTGTATCTGCGTTCACCTGCCACGTCCAAGCTCTCTCTACTGACTTGCACGACAGCCTCACGACAGCTGAACTCCAAGGTGTCCCTCCACGTTCAACCCGGTGTTCCGGTGTCCCCAATCCACCTCCATTTTCAAATACGTGGCTTCGGAAGGCTGCAACGCGCTGAAGCCAAACTGAAGGATCTTGATCTTTTGGCTTCTGTAGTTGCAACCTCTGGAGATTAGAAGGCAATTTAATTGCACTTTAACATTGTATAATATACATAGTATATTGTATGGTAGTCCTGTGAGAGTTTTAGGCTCCAGTGATGAGGATGTAGTTTTTTTCACTGTTTCCTTGGTCCGTGCAAGCGTCAAGCTCACCCTCGCGCCTACTCCACTTTCTTCCTCCAGGGTCACTTTTCATGCAATCTCATGATCTCGCAACAGTGAACGTGCAGGATCTAGCCTTCTTGATGAATTACCAATGAACATCTTCCCGCACTTGTACATCCACCAGCATCCACCAATAGAACTTTGTGTGTTTTTGACAAAGCCGATAGACTCCAAGAATCATACCACAGAATGCCACAAGCATAAGTAGTTCACTCACTACTTTGCCTTGCAGCATTTGGTTCTCATGTTTGATATAAAACCTGAAAGATCTGAAAAGGTCACAAAGGTGCTAGAATGAATTGTGGCCTTCAGGCAATTCGGAAATTCAGACTTCACATTCGGGGGCTTCTGCGAAAGGTCTCCGGCAGCGGATGTCATAACGTTGGCCTGTCAGTAGCAAGTCATTAGATCTGAAGCGAGCATACAACAATATGATTACAATGTGCGTAGACATATCAGCCACACGCTTCATGCATCCAAGTAAACTCCCGCCTGATCACTGGTCTCGGCTCTACCCAAGTGTGATGTTGAAGGGGTGGTGTAGCCAATCCAACCGTCAAAAGCTCCGAACTGTTGCAAGGTCTTGAGATCCTGGAGTGGTCCATCTTCAGACATGAACAACGGGAGTATCTGATCTATATGCGCTTGGAATTTCTCCTTGGCCCCTTGCGCCACAGTGTATATTCGCATATCATCAAAATCTATAAGCAGATGGAAAGTGTAACTGGATTCAAATTTTGACGGAAATGAGAAAACCGTGGCCCGCCTCAGTGTCCTTGATATCCGTGGGCCATGGTGCCCAGGCTGCTTCGGCCTCAAGTGTAGGGTTTTTTCTTCACTATTTGCTCAAGATTGCGTGGAGTCCGTTTCGCATCATTCTGCTGTGGTCTCAACAAAGCCCCATACGAGTGCCATATACCACGCCACATCGAGCTTTGATCTTCGGGAATCCAAATCCACCGGAAGGAGGAATGGACGCCGAAAGTTTTTGGAGTCCTGGCAAAAAGTGACGAGATGTGATGAGTTCACATTTCCCCCCGGCTTCACTGTGGTCCTGCCACTCACGCCGATAATGTCCTTTCCTCAAAGCAGCCACCATGGAAAAGTAGACTTGGCGCCTTCGGGAACGTCGGGAACAGAATATGTATATACTGTTTAAGTTTATATACTGCCAACTTCTCAAGTTTTCAAAATTGACTTCTGTTTGGGGTGGCCAGACTTTAAGCGCATGAGGGTCAAACGAGTCACATCAGTGTTTCTCTCGTGGTGAATACCCACGCTCACACCTTGCGTCATCTGCTTGCCAAGAGTCCTGCTGAAGCACTTGCAAACCTAATTAAACCGGCCCTTTTGGCAGATTGCTTGGGTCTTTACCCTTCAGAAATGCTCAAATGTGGGCCGCCGTAAATCCAGATCAAGAACTAGCTTCTGCCTGGACTCCCTCTTTGCACTGAGACAAGTGCCTCTTACAATGTAGAAAGATGTAGTGACATATTCCGAGACAAAGTGTTGCATCTACGCATATCAATAATTGTCTCCGATATCGCTGATATATTGGCGTCCACTCAGAGTGGTGGCCGGTCCATCGGCGTTTGTCGAATGGTCTCGTTCAGGGGCAAGGCGTAGTTTACTGTCCATGCCAGAATTGGATCAGTGCTTCGTACCTCAAAACATCAGCAGCTATTCATAGGTCAAAGGTGTCACCAAAATGACCGGTTTGGAAGAACCTGCAACTGCATGCATGTGCACTGGTGGATGGATGATAGTGATGGTGTCTTCTCCATGGCATGTCTGCTTACAAAGAAAGTGAGGCTGGAACACTCAGGAGCAGATTGTCGAAATGCTTCAGCATTTCCTTTTCCCTCTCCAGTGAGTCTCGCATCAACCAGCTTTCCTGCGCGTACACTTGCGTCAGTCAAATTAGATACTCTCATGATTTTGGCTCGCAGGGTCGGGAAGCTCGCACAGCGGTTTTCCGCCAAGTTCCAGTATTTGGTGACAAGCTGGTGACAGCATGGTGTGCCACACAATGGCGGAGGTGCCTGAAAGAAGTACTTGAGGTCGAACGTCGGAATCACAAAGAGCCCTAAACTCCTAGACACCAGTGGTCACTAGAACTGCACTCCACGGCTTTTCCAGTTGACAAATTGGTTCAAGCCATCCTCAACTTGCGAGAATGCAGTCCTGCAAAGGTCTAGAAAGTCATGATGATTCTCCTCACATCTGTGGGAATGTGCATTAGACATACAACGGCAGTATCTCAAATCGGTATATCATGTGTGTGTGTGTGTCTGTGTGTGTGTGTCTCTCTCTGCAAGTAGCAAAGCCGCCGGCCTGCCAGCATGTTTGGTGGATGTTCTAGTTGTTTGAGGGTTTTTCAGCTTTGTATACTAGTAGCTCTGTACTACATTTTTGCCTGAAAACTCCCCCCCACCCACCCTCCCCCTTGTTGGTCTTCTGATCTTCTGCTATGGGCTAGCAAAGGCTCACAGTGAATGCTCTAGAATGCTGCACCTTCCACATTTTGAAGGGTTCCAACATTGGACGAACATTGGCCCAAGAGGGGGCCCGAGCTAGCCCAAGATTGGCTCACATTTGGCTCCAAAGCTAGCCCTTTATGGGCGCCTTGCCTCAAGTTGGTCTCAACCTAGCCCAACATAGTGTACGGTTACACAGTTTTACAGTATACCAACCAGCTTTTACACCAGCTAGATTCCACACCAATACTCTTGATATCAATCGACTTTTGCATCAACTTACATCAACTGGCTGATGCACCAACCGCTTCGTCAACTAGCTTTCACATCAACTGGCTTTTCCACCAAACAGTTTCTAAACCAACCACCCACCAGTCCACACTGTCAGCCCAGTACACCCCAAGGCTTATGACCTTTAGGCTCGCCGGTAAGCCGGTGGAACATGGAGCTGCTATATTCCTTTAGGCGCATGCATTGCCATTTTGGATCATCTTGGCACCTTTCAAATCTTTCGATTGGAGAAGAGACTTCTGCATTCCAAAACTGTCCTTGGCGTCCCACGGCTCCAGCATTACCGCATTCGCATGTAGCACCTTTACCATGAGGTAGAGGTCGCGGCGGTGCAAATATTTGAAGGCTGATGTATACAGGTCCTCTTCAGCAGTGGACAAGGGTAAAACGCGACTTGAAGACCCACCAAACAACCAAAGCTGCAGCCCTGGTCGTTTTCAAACTGAAGTGCATTTACAATGCTAAAGGGATTCTAAGTTCTAACTGGTGACTACTTCAGCTTCGCTCTGAAGAGTGTTGCTTCTCAATGTGCTGTCAAAAGCCTGCGTTCTGCCGATTCTCAGTCCCCACTCCAGTGGTATCTGACCACTCCTTCTCTCCAGAAGATACACCGATCGGTCGGGGCACGTAGAAAACAGCACGTACATCGATGGCTTTGAGTTCTCAGCGGTGCATTGAAGCTGAAAAAAATGTGTCGGTGAGGAAAGACTCTCACGATCACTCGAAACATTTTGTCAGCAAGAATCTTCCATTCTCAATACTCGGCAGTTCCAAGCCACCGCTTGGGCAGTTCTCCTGGCCAAGTGCAGTTTTCAAACAGGACATGTACAGATAATGCAGTGCAATGCACAACACTGGCAAACATCAAAGTAGCAGTCCTTGGCAACAGTGGGAACGAAAAATGTTGGACAGTCTTGATTGCTTCCAAATGCGATTCGGGACTGGCAGAGTGAGAGGATGATTCAATATCTCATGAAATTCGTACCCTCTCTTTGTGTCACCACATGACCGTCTCTATGTGTGGCCACAAGAATGTTAAAGTTGCACGCAGCTTTTGATATTCAAGGTACTCAGAATCTCACATTTATGATCACAATAAAGCTAGCAGCAGCTAACAAGGAAACAGCAGAGGGATCATGCCTCGCCCTGCAAGTCGGCGACTGGGCATAGATCTGCCATAACCATTGCAGGCATTGCAGGGATCAGCCAAAGCCAGCCTCTGGAAGGGCACATCCTGCGAACAGAGACCCCTGGGACCCCTCGTTGCTTCGTGGACGATGAAATCATGCATCGGAGTCATCGGAGTCATCCGAGTCATCGGTCATTGCAGCGTGGTCCCGGCAGAGAATGTGCGGCGCCGGGGTCAAGTCATAGGGCCTCGAAACTTGCAAGAATGTACAGAATGTACAGGTCGAGCAGAGTCAAGCAGAGTCGAGCAGTCTCAAACACGCACCATGTTTTGAGTTCATTGATGTTCATTGTAGTTGCAACTCTCTCCAAGCCATTCCAAGATACAAGGCTGACCAATGACGTCACACATGCAACAATCAATAAACTGAGCATCCCAGCATGTGGTTTTATTTGACGAAACGTTTCAACGGGCAAACGCAAGAGCCCTAGTGCTGTGTTTTGAGTTAATGGGTATTCAAGGATCCATGACAAGAATCACGTCTAGAAGCTTTTAGAATTGGTCCACTGTTAATACGAAACCTCTGAAACTCAGTATGATGCAATACTCTGCCAGAAGTGCCGCAGAAGCATGATCGGAGCCAAAGTGTCATCGATATAAACTGCAATAGATGTTCATGACACAGTTCATCGTTCCCATCTGATCCTGGCAGGTGTTGCAAGCTTTTTGTTGACCATGGTGGCGAACAAGCCGTCAAACTGGCACTTTTTACACACCAGCAGTCGGAGGTGCAGGCTTTGGTGCAGGGCCACTGAGACCTGCAGTGTCTTGCCCAAATGTCTTAGAATGCAGAAACAGAATGCGAGGAAAACGGATGCAGTCAGATCGCTTTCTGTCGAAATAGACGCTACAAAGGGTGTGAAATACTATCTATCGGCTTCAAATAGCAAGCAAATACACACTGCCAACCAAGGTATGTGCAGCTCTGAAAAACTCTTGAGTTTCTCCAGTATACTTAGTGCTTGTGCAGGCCCAGAAAATCTGCGCTTTTGATCCACGTCAGCTTGGCTTTTGACCATCTTTGGGCCTTTCCTCTTTCAAAATAGCCGACAAAACACACTCTTTGAAATTGGTTCAAGATTCAGCCAGTGAAAGTGTTGAGCAATATTTCTCTGCTTCCAGTATATATTCATGCCTGGGCAGCAAAAAGTGTGTTTCCATCAAACTCCAGGAGCTTGTGAAGCTTGTGCTGTCATTAAGTGGGCTTGGCCATGAAATACCAAGCAAGGCTCTATTAAATATTTCTTATTCGCAGCGCTTCATTGGCTGCCTGTTTAACCTCACAAAAGGAAGCCCTGTCTCGCGGCGAGGTATCGAATGGTCAGGAAAATGCAAATCACCTCATGCAAATGGTGAAATGCCATGAAGTGTCAGGAAATGCCATGAAAATCCTTCAAACATCTTCAAACAACGGTCTACGCAGCATTGCTGCCTTGCTTTGCAGCTTCATACAAAGTTTACCATATCCAATCTCCCCGGAAGACTCGAAGTCATCATGGGAATCATGAGGAAATACTGCCAAATTTGAGCGAGGTCTACATGTGGACTTCTCCAAAGCTCCGAGCATCTGCACCGTCCAAAGTGAACTCTTGACATCTCTTGACGCAACACGTCTAAATCGTTTAAGCTCCTGGCAACACAGAAGGTGATCAGTAGTGCGACCCGGAACGCTATATCCTTAGCTAAAAGCAGTTTGTTGTTCCATGCCGTCCTGGCCGTCCTGGCCGTCCTGGCCGTCTGGCCGTCTGGCCCTCCTGCATACTCGTAGTACTGAGATCCCATCTGAAGACTCGTACCCGCTGACCAAGTTCATACCCATGGCACCTGCTGAGACGAAAAACTGGAGTAGGCATTCGCGGCATTCAATCACACTGAAATGGCATGACATCTGGCATTTGGCTAAGGCTGAAACCAGGCACTATACCTGATCAACTTGAAACTTCTGAACCACACACGTTGCATATCCCCAAAAGAAGGCGATCCTATTTCTGATCCAGTTCTTGCTCGGCAAGTTGATCCGCGTTGACTCGCTGACTTTTGCTTGTGTTCAAATCATCGTATTGTCTGACTTATCGGACTCAAAGTTCAGGGTCTCGCAGCCATTTGGTCGTGGAGCGAGTTTCCAGCGACGTTCTGAGCATTGAGCATTGATCTTTCTGGGATCAAGGACACTCTGAGAATGATACCTCCAGCTGCAATGGACACGGACGCAATAACCTGCAGAGTCAATGAGACTTCTCTTGTAATTAGGCGTGAGGACGATCGAAATGAGCCCTGCACATTTTGCCTTGAGAAGAACCCATGTGAACCCTGAGTATATAATTAAAAAAATTTAAAAAAACAATTGGGTCCGGTCACGGACCAAGAGGTAGAACAACCTGGAAAGCTGCTTCTAAGGTCTTCCTGAGACGTGCAAACCATCTCCTGGAAATATGCTTGATGTTTGTTTGCAAACATACCATTTAGCAAGAACCCCGTTCAAACGAGTAGTGTCAATTGGTCTTGAAAATCGACCTTCCAAATGTTTCATTGTTTAAACAGCACTGTACAAGGTCCGCACCAGACTCAGCTCGAACTGCTCGACTCGCAAACGCCGGGCCTGACGCAACTTCACCATGATGGATGCAGTCTCGGGAGGAACTTTATAATTGATGCAAAAGGTCCCAACGGATATATGGATATCCCAAGTTTAATTCGCATTCTGTGACCGCATCAATGCAATGATTGGCAAACCCAGTGCACCACAAGAGAAGTCCGAAATTCTTGAATACGTGCTGTCTTTATGTACCAAAAGAAAGTTGCAGAAGTCTGTCTGCAATTGGTAATTCCGTTTTTCTTTGATGTTCAGTCATCCACACCTGGAGGGCCAAACTGGCTGAGCCTTCAAAGTCCTCTCATCAACAGCCGAAGGACTTTGTGTTCGGGCCACGCACAAAATTGAACGTCCTTCTGCTTTAGCAGTGTCAGTGGAATGATTGGTCATCACGGGCATGTGTCTTCTTGAAAAGAAGAGGTCCTCGATGTCTTGTAGTAGTGAGGTGCACTGGCGGGAAAGCTCACTGTAAGCCTGTCGCACCATCAAGGTCTGCGCTCAAAAATGGCATGATCAAATTTATCAAACAATACCCCCTGCATATCTGGAGGCAGCATCATGGAATATGCGCCTCTACTGTCCGGCTTGGTTTGTTGCTTCACAAGAAAGTTGGGAAGTAGCGAGATCTTATTTCCAGGCCATGGGCAAATCTCGGCGCCAAATAAGTTGCAGGGGCTAGCGCAGTGGACCTGAAGATAGGACTCCAGCAATGCCTCCCACTCATCGTGCGACGCCTACAGTAGATGAGACGGAAAGTCAGAGCTTCCAGTGTCAAAATGAACTCAGGCTACCTCAGCCCTGTGTCACAAGCGGATGTCACAGATGTCACAGCATGCTAGCTATTAAGCTTCAGGCAGGGTCGCCATCGCTTGCAGCCAAGAGCTTGGCCTGCTACTGTGCTGCAACACCCTCACTACATTTGCTGAAATTCGCTCATTTTACAACGCAATAAAGCATTCAATTCCAAACACAATTACGCAGAAACCAGTCGCCTGTCTAGAATATATACACACATGCAACATGATATTCATTTTGCTAGTTATTGGTTAGAAGTTCATTCAAGGATTGCGTACAGCAGCCGAATGTTTCGTACCCTCTCAGAGGTGTTCAGACCTTTAGGCTTGCGGAAGGGTATAATGTACGGTTTTGGGGTGGGAACCGTTAGGGTTAGGTTTTCGGTGGGCGGATGGACCTAATGACTAGTGCGTTTCGAAATGAGCGAATTTTGATCCCCAACGCTACATAAACAAGCTGCGACAGTTCCGAAATTCAATGAAGAAAAAGAAATGGGTAATAGTTTGTTTTTTTGGTTTCAAGTCCTCTAGCTGTTCGCCAAGGATGACTGCAGCCTCATCACCATCCAACCGTGAGAGCAAAGAAGATGACCTAAGAGCCGCTCCTAAGAGCCAAAAATGATTCTTGACATGCAGCACCTATAATGCTGTGATGGAAGAGACGACAGTGCAAACGCGAAGCCAACTGTGCAAATCTTCAACCTGACCTAGTCCCTAGACGTCTGAAGGATCCACTGACACTGACACACTGATCTTCTCTCACACGATATCCAGCAATCTGAGGCTCATGCACGGCAGAAGCCTGGCCTCAGGCACCAAAAAGACTTAAGCATCATCCCCGGAGTCATATCATACCTCGCTCTACCACAACTTTCACCATGGACTTGATTGTCAAACAACAACTGAAACACTGCATGTTTTTTCAAATGTCATCGCTCTGAGCCATTGCTTTTCTTTTCGCAGCTTCCAAGGCCAGGACTCGCACATCTGACCAGGTTTCGTCGGAGTTGCCGGACCTCCAAGCAGGTGGGGGTGGCTCTCAAGAGGCAAATAGAACTGCACCCATGACGGGCCTCTTCCAGGTCTTGCCTCCAGAGATTTCGAATACATCGTACATCATGGCATATGGTAGCTTGAAAGGAAAATGTGCCACGTGAGTTACAGCTTGTCACAGCTCTGTCTTTGTGCTTAGCCACCAGCTCTCGCAAGACCGGAGGCGCCCGTAACTTTGGTTCGGTGCTCTGACGGATCTCTGAGAGCCTTGCACCAAGTAAAACTTGAGCGTCTTGAGCCTTCTAGGCAAAACAGTTAAGCCTTTGGTCATGCTGCACTCATGCTGCACTCATGCTGCCGTGCTCAAGCGTCGAAATTTGGACCATCCAAACGTCTCAACATATGTCTCAACATGTCTCAACATGTCTCTCTATCTTTCAGACAAAACTCGCAGTGTCTCCTGGACGCAAGGCGACGGCTCAGAGCGAGCAAAGCACTTTCCACAAAGACCATCCTCAAACAGAGAGGCAGCAGCTGCAAAGTTGCAACTGGCCTTTTGGACATGTACCACGCTCTGTGTGGAATGGCGAATCCAGTGCAATTTGCTACACGATCATGCAGCTGTTCTGAAGATATTTGAGAATCTCCTTAACTCTTTGGCTCAGCTGGTCAGTGTCGCCAGGATCTTGTCAGATGCCAAAGACTCAAGTCTTTGCGCATGATGCTTAGGCAAGCACCGAAAGCTGCTGGCTTGCGAAGTACCTACGAAGAACAAGGCATGTTTGACAAACTGCTGGTGGGGCACATTGAAACTCAACGTGCTCAAATGCAATAAGAATCTGTATATAAGTCAAGATTCTGGGCATAGATGACAAATGATAAGAACGGCAGCCTATATTTCTCTCCAGGTGGACAGAAAGTGTTTCGAGTCTAGATATGCTTAGGCAGCTGTTCAAAAATGTTCCCTGCCCTGCGTCTCAGCCTGCTCCCTCTGCCAAGGCCCGCTTCTGGTTTTCAAGCACACGCAGAAAGCGGATCTGATCCTCACAATGAACACAACAGCTAAACAGCTAAACAACTCTAAATGAATCTAAACGTCTGGAAAGGAACCAAAAGAACCAAAACCTCAGCATCTCAAAAGGTTTCGGACCAAAAGCTTCGACAAAGCTTGGAATCTGGCGCGGCTCCATGGTCCGAAAAGCAGGGCTCGATCCTGACGAGCAGTTGCGAACTTGTGACTACTGTGACTCCACGTTGCTCCATGTGCACTTCAGCCAGACCCACTGTCTGAGGAACGTGATGAAACTAAGTACTCGTTGCAGCAAGAATACCATGGTTGTTTGAAAAAAAGTTGATTATATTGACAAGTATTCTGAGTTTGCGCAGCTTGAGTGACACCACACAATGACGATGAGGCAAACTTCACAAACGTTACACATTAAGTGCACCTCTTCGACGACTGCTCGCACACCACCCAGCCCTATCAGCAAGCCAGTGCGCCTGTCAACACTGCGTTCTAGCTGTCAAGCACCCGTGTCACATGGTTCGCCTCTGGGTGAGGGCGTCTGTATCATGCAGATTCCGAGAGTGCAGGTGTTATAAAAATGCGTCGAAGGGTTGATCTTGAGTTGTGACTTAAGAATAATAGAATGCCCTCCGGTCAGTTGAAATGCGATCGGTTGACCTGTTTTTCTGGTGTTGGAGTGAAACTCAATGCGAGTTCCCGGCTAAGGATGAGCGTTGTGATTGAATTCGATGGTGTTGAAACAGAACACAGGTGAGCGCTCAAGTCGCACTTCAAGATTATATGTGACTTTTCAGTGTGCAGTACTGCAATGTAGTTTGTGATCCTCCAAGATCTTCAATACAATACTCTTTAAAATGGAGTTCCAGAGTTTAGTATCAAGTTTTAGGAGTTATGGATTGTTTGGGTAGAGAATTTGGTTCATAAGAAAAAGCACCCGTGTGGTGAAAGCATTTGACGAACATTCTATTCTGCGATGTTTCCTCGCGATGATACTTCGATGGTAAGGGCAAAGAAACTGTGAGAGTCATTCCTCTTGGCTCAGAGGTCCTACAAGCGGCAGGGTTAAGTCATAGCATCTCGTCTTAAGTCATTGCCGGGGTCCTGTTTCTGCATGTGTACGCTGCAAATGGTTTAAGTCACAGCCGCTCGTTTTAAGTCATAGCCGCGTGATCCCCATGTGTATGCGGCTTCGACCAAGACTAGTGCAAGTTTGCAAAGAGTGCAAGTTTCCCATCTGTACTGCTGCCTGAAATTAGACTAAATTACCATAGTATCAAAGCTTGCCGCACTTCAAATGCCAGACATTCTGCGTTCTGTCCCCAGTCCATCAGCACCCACAGAGTCAATAGTGAAAAATCTAAGTGCAGTGGTACTTCCAAAAACTACAAGTTTCAGGGCCAAAGGCTGAACCTGACCCCAATTCCCTTGTATTGCCTGCCAGACAGCCTTGGTCGCTTCAAGATAAAAAGTTGAAGCTAAAAAACAACCAAGTTTGCAACATTGTATAAAGGACTCCAAGCCGCACAATCTTGAGCCCAGTAACATTGGGCCGACGTCCGAGCCATTCAAAGGGACCTCAGATCAGAACATTGTATTCGATCTTACTTGGAATCCCAAGAATCATGTTCACAAGGTGGTGCAAAAAATGCCTTGTTCAACGTTTCCTGCCAACATGCAATCTTCCTCAGAATCAATCCACGCTTTCAGCCGCCTAATTTTTGAGCATGTATATATATATATAGATATATGATATATACAATATATTATATATAATATATATATTTATTTATTTATATTATTATATATATATATATATACAGTTATACATCTATGTTTTGCTGCAGTTTTGCAAGATTCGTGAATTATGCCAGTTTTGCCTCGTCTGTTTTTCCAGCAAGATCTGACATATCTGATATTCACCATGTCTTCAGCTGAAACCAAAACTTATTGTTCTAAAGCACGATGCCCAACCCAAGTCCCAACATTCCAAGGTTTACCATTTAAGAATAGCTGGAGACTCTTCCAGCATCTAAAAGCACCAGCATCACCTGTCAACCCAATTAAACCGATTTGTCTGGCACCATCTATTTCCACAACTGAGCACCATTTGGTTTGACGGTTTGACAATGCAAAGGACGACTGCGGCAAGGTTGCCTTGTACCCGATAGTCCAAAAGCCCCAACAAGCCACCCCAGGGTAGCAAGAGCGAAGCATGTTTTGGAGGTGTACCAGCAGCGCACAAGCATCGCTTTTCGGTCCTGAACAAACTAATACAAACTAATACCATTTTTTCTGCCCATTGGGGCGCTGGCAGAGACTGCACGAAGATCTCGTGGCCTAGGAGACAAAAAGAAATTGAAGATGGTCCAATGGTCGAAAGGAATGCAGCGAAATGAACTGTCTTGTTTAGGGTCTAAACAGATTTCATTGACACTGGATACGTGTCTCCAGGTAGAATTCCAAATTCCATGCTACTTGTACTGGCTGCCAATGACAATGCGCACGTGTATGACCATGTCAGAAGTGGCCAACTCTTGTGACAAACTTGGAGAAGCCATGACTAACGCACATCCAAAAGCACCTGCCTGAGACCAGTCTCCATCAACAGCTCACCGCGGGTGATTGTCATGGAACCTGGCAACCGAATTCGAGGCAATGTAGATGTGGCCGATTTTCACCAAATACAATGAGTACGATATGAGTACGTGCTCATAAAATCTCATGAACTGCTCCAATGATCTCATGTGCATGATCTCTGAATGCAATGCTTTGGCGGGACATGCCGGTTCTTCAAACTTGGCCCTCCGCAGTCACTTCAGTCACAGCGTAGGTAAAGTCTCCAGGTCTTGCTAGGAAGCGTGAGACCTCTGCAACCTCCGTAGAAGCGAACTCCGCAGAGGGGTCCTGACATAGCGACTTCAATTCAGATACACTTTGCTAATCTTTACCAATATATTCTTTACTCAATCTCACCATTTCAAAGTGATGCTTGGATCAATTCCATGCCCTAAACGGTCTTGAACATGCTCGGACACTGCCTCGCTTGCAGTCAGATGTGACTCGAGTGTCCTCCTTGAGAGGCAGTGTCGCGCCGTTGATGCTTTCATCAACTGTGCAGCCAGTGTCATCGCAGCCAAAGTTTGCCACCGTGCTGAGATTGGAGATTTTGGAGATTCTTGATGTCGAGCGAAGAAATGAATCTGTCTCTGCTTCTTGCCCTTCTTGCCCTTCTTGCCCTTCTTGCCCTTCTTGCCCTTCTTGCCCAGCACACAAGTGAGTGCTCTGGGTGTGACCAGACCTGCGTCTTCTGCACGCGGCAGATGCAAAAAGGACTCCGTATCCTGAAACTCCACAGATGCGCCCTGTGGACTGTACCGACTGTACCGATTTTCCTGGCTGCACTGTTTCCGGCGCAAGTTGCGGGCTTTGACGCAGCGGGACCGGGGCCAACAGGATCATGCCACATGGCAAGGCTAATGCAGACACTAAGAGGACTGGGTCGCTGAATTTACAGTCCCAATTGCATCATGAAATGATACTGTAGAAGTTTGTGCAAAAATCGAATGCGTGCCAAAATGTTGCATCTTTCTTAGTAGTGTGAGTTGTTTGTTCATTGCTTGGCTACTCATTCGCATCTGCTTTGCCCTCTCTACTGCATTCTCTTATAGAGAACTGTGGCAATCAAAGCATTACACGCTTCAAAGCAAATCAGCTTGATCAAATGGCGGCCAGTTCGAGTGGAGGAAGTGTGTTTCCATTCTGCTTCAAAGACATGAAGGTCATGAAGGGTGCAAGAGGTTGCATCATGCATGGCAGACACTTGGAAAAATTGAGCAGGCCTGAAATGATCATTCTCCTTAGTGCAACAATGTGCAACATCCAAGTCTTGCACTGCCTGGGGACATAAATGGAACAACTCCATCTGGTCGCCGAGCAGCATAGCAGCACTGCGCGCAATTCGCGTTCCTTCTAAGTGCCGAGTGTTGCGCTCCAAGTGTTCCTGATCAAGGCTCTGCGGCCAGGTGGGGAAACTGCGCCAAAGTCTCATAGTCTGATTCTGTGTGAGTGTTTCTGTTTCTATGTCCATCTATGTCCCTTGTCTTCAAAGCAAAAACAACAGTTTGGCCTTGAAGAATCCAAGCTCTCTGATAACTTCCGGATGAAGTGAGCGCCACTCCTTTTTGGCTGGAAAATTTGACATAGACATAAATGTGTGAAAGCAGCAGAACGAAAAGCAGGCACAGAACTGGGTATAGCTCAAGCTGCACAGGTTCTCCTCCGCCTGGATTTCCAGCAATTGCTTGGCTGCCTCCCAGATCAATGTGAATATTGATTGAATTCATTGCACATGTTCTGGAGACATGATTATCATGATTGGAACATATTGGAACTAGGATAAGGGCTCCCGTCACCAGTTTAGGTAGAGGCTTAATAGCACTTCAACAGCACTTTAACTCTTCCACCATGAGTTTCCATCCAGAGCGAGGCCTCGGGTCCAGAAAGGTCATTGCCTGCACGACAATGTCTATGAGCACCACGTGATGCAATTTTCGCACACAACTCAGTAGAGCGCATGCGCAGGGGGACTCACAGATCTTCACAAACTGTGAGTTTTGTCAGATCTTATCATGCTGCATAAATTTGACAAATTCGTCTCCACCAGCCTATCGGCCAAGTCTTGCAAATGCCGAGCACAGCCTCTGCATAAAAATGACAACGCATTCATCCAGGATTCATCCATATTGTCTGCATGTGATGCACTTCATCAAATAAGTCAAAAAATAAGTCCGGTTTTCTTGGATTACTTCCATCAATTCAGGACCACGACGGGCGACCGTTTGCACTCTCCCAACTTGAGGCGCACCCAACGCACACAAGACATCTCAAGACCGGGCCTTGGCTGATCCCAAGATCTTCACAACCTCAGCAGCCTGCCTGGCAGAACTGGTGGCGAGGGGCAGTTCTCTTCACACCACCGCGCGTATGGCTGACTGGAAGCTGTCACAGCCCTGAAAAGAATACCGGCAAACAGTGGCTCAAGCTTTCAGAATCTTTGACGTGCATTGGGGTAAGAAGCATTTTCTGGCTCAGCTGGACCTTTTGTCCAGCTGTGGTGAGACCTTTGAATAGCATTGCATAGTATTTGAATGCATTGAAACGCATGGAATACAGAGTTCATGACAGGTCTAACCTCTCGACCTCTCTTTCAAATATCCAGAGAGCTGTTGTTTTAGCTCTTTCTCAATGTTGGGCATCTCATGTTGGAAGCCCCGATCCCAAGACTTCACCCAATTTCGGAAGTCATCCTGGATTTCATGTTTCACTTCTCGGGCGGCTTTGGTCAACCCTGTCACATCAGTTTTAAATCGAATCATGTCCTCCTGCAAATTCTGCACCAAATTGTCGATATCTTCGACCTTTCCGACTAATTTCAGAGACTCTTGCAAGCCAAGCTGCAGAAGCTCCAGGCTATTCATTTTGTCTCCAAGTTTCTGCCTAAACCTCTCATGATCAAGTTTCAGCTCCTCGAAAAGAGCATGATCTTCGTGGCGCATCTCAGCAATGGTTTCCAAGGCAACCTGCATCGATTGCATTCGCCTTTGCAGATTTTCCAAAGATCTGCGGTGCTCCACATGATCCTCGCGGCCTCGTTGTCCTTCCCTCTCCTCTAAGGCCGAACAACGACTGTCCACCGCACTGAGCGAAGAGGCAAAATCCTGCATTTCAACCTGGGACTTGCTGATCTCCAGAATCTGTTCAGCCAACTCATTGCAACGTTTCTCCACAGCGGCAAAGATTCGTTCACAGGATTCCTTTTCCAATTTCGCTTTGGTCTCAGATTCCTGTCTGGCCAGCAGGTGGTTCCTTGCTTGGTTTTCAACCAGGCGTTGTTCCTCTCTAAGCCTCTCCAGGCCTTCATTTCTCCCAAGTTCGATGTCGGACAAGGACTTGCTCAAAGCTTCTAAACGCGATTCCAATAGAGCCTGCGCACTGCGACATTGACCTTCCCAAATACTGGCAGCGGAGCTTGTTGAAGCAACCTCCAAACCAACTTTGTTGAATTTCACATTTGCTTTCTCCCACTGCGATTCAAGGCGTTGCATTGCTAATTGAAGGGATTGGACGTCTCTGACAATACTCGAAAACTCTTCATCGCGAGATGTGTCAGAGACCTCTTTGCTTCGTAGTCGAAGTTCCAAGGCACTGAATCGCTCCTGTTGCTCTGTGTACAAATCTTTCAGATCTTTCAGTTTCCGGAGCTCGTCCGAATTTTCTCGCCGTTCGAAGAAACGCTCGAAACGCTCTTGCTGCTCTGCAAGGCGACGAACGTCTGCCTCTAAATATCGCCTCGCTTCCTCTGACTCATGCAAAGCGGCAGCGGTTATCCGAGAAGCTTCGGCACCCTGCTGACAGGTTGTGGCAACCCAATCAGACAAACTCTTTGTTGAGGCCAAAACCAGTTGAACACGTTCATCCACAGCAGCCTCGATCCATCTTTGAGTTGCTGCAGCAAGCGCGATGTCCTCTGGCCTATCTGAAGATCTCATGGCAGGTTGCAATTCGCTGTTCGAGCAGCTTCAAAAAGGATGACAGCAGATCAAGAATCAAGATCAGTCAAATATCTAGTGGCTGGTAAAATCCGAATCTGCGCATTGAGGACATCTGTCTGTGTCGCACTGAGTAGACAAATAATGCTTCCACATTTGTTACCCTCGTGACATCAAGAATCAGGCAGGCTGAGCTCAGGAGACGAGCAAATCACCAGGGAAGGTGTTGCAGAGTCCTGAACAGATCCCATCCAAACAAGGATCATGATTATCATGATGGATCATGACATGGCTAAACTAGACCGAACAGTGGACTCTCCACCCACACCCAGTCAACATGAAAGGGTATCGACGATCGGTATCGTTGCCAAACGGCCCCCTCCTGCTCTGTGGTCTGTGGCGCAGCCTCCAAGATGCCATCAGAGAACATCGTTCTCCTGAGTGTCGGGAGGTCTCTTGAAGTTCTTTGCCAATGCATTGAGAATGGAATGCTTAAAGTAACCAATATATACCAATATCATATAATTCGTTTGAAATTACAAGAAAGGACTAAGGCTAGTTTCAAGGAAGTTTGTCCTGACATAGCACATCAAAATACATCAGAATTCTTGTATTTCGAGCAGTGCTTTCAAAAATGTTTTTGCTCCATCAAGAACCCTTTTGACTCCGACAACCTGTGACGACAGGCTCTTGCTTCTTCCGTGCCATCTACACTTTGTCTGAGTGTCCAACCAAGGTGTCTTAGACGGCAGGTTTTCCTGGAAGAATACAAAACCACAGACACTTGAGAGGACTGGGGTGGGCGAAAGGTAAGTTCTGCTGGATCAAGGGATTGAAGTACAAGTTTTGAATTTTGGAGAAACAAATGGTATGAATGAAAGATTCAACATAAATTGTAATATCAAAAAAAGGGAAGTCTCTGCAACGTATGTGATGGCTGGTCTTCTGGTGCCTTCACAAGAACTCTGGATAGCCTAAATCTCCAGGACCAGGGGGGAATCGAAGGGAGGGGGCGCCGTGGCTTGGACTGTTCCGTTCTATGTGACGGCCATCTCTCGGGTGCGCCCCCCCTCCCCAAGACTAAAACGAAGACTAAACAAGGAAAAATCAGGGATTGGAGGCAGACCCAGCCACAAGTCCTAAAGTACATAGCCTAGGCTACCTTTTGTGATTTCCTTGTGTACTGTGTTTGTCAAAGTGAAAGTTTTCCATGGTAATAAATTCGAAATGCGACACAAATATGAACAGAAACACATCCGGTCCCAAGAGATTCCAACTGACTTACATAAATATTTTGAATGAGACCTGTCCTTCTCCTCGTCCTCTTCACCATTCTCTGCAGAGCCCACGCTAAGCACCTTACAACGAGCTTTGACTCGAACTCCACAGTGATCACTACAGTGATCAGCACGTGATGACCACAAGTGTGACCAAGTCATGACCATAGTCATGACCACTTGATTCTGTCAGTTCTATTCATGAAAAGTGACTGAGGCCAATCATTGTTGCCTGATTTATGTTGCACAATCTGCCCAAACCAAATGTTCAAACTGCACTTGTTCAGTTCCTTAGCAGGTCACAGAGCATGTTTCTTTTTGTATCCTGTTATACGGAGTTATACGCCATGCCGCCGTGTATACCCCTGCCAAAGCGCCACATTCAAAATACACCCGGAGGATCACCAGGTGCACCGGCCACTTTCACATCTTGACCAAATTTGCGCAGCAGCGCTTCGACTTTGCGTCGCGGCAGCTGCGCCTTTGGGGGATACACGGCATAGGGATGAAGAACACATGCAGGTAAAACTCGACAAGACAAGGTGTAGAACGTGATAAAAACCGCTTGCGGAAGAACTGCAATCAACACAAGACAAAGGCGCCTCCACAATGTGATCGCGGCCAGCAAAGGGAATACCCCTCAAAGCTCCTCGACCAAAAAACACAATGTCCCGGATGAAGAAGGACTGGCCAGCTTTTGAATCCTGCGCAAATCTTACAGCAGAGACTACCTCAAGACCTACTGTTCCTGTTTGCAAGTGCTGAACGTAGGCCACCTTAAAGTGCCACTTCACGGAGTGCTATACCAAGGTCTGCTACTGCATTAAGCATTTGCCAGTGGTCAGCGGAAAGTTTACTTCTTGAGGGCGGGGCACTATCAGACAGTCCAAATCCAACTGCCTGTGGAAACGCTGAGTCACAGCTGAAGCATTTCTGAAGTTCTTCAACAACTGCCGAGTTCTTCAACAACTCTGAAGTCGTGCAGAAGTGTCGCCTTTGGGAAGCTGGCCAAGCGAGCAGAGAAGAAACGCTTCTCTGGAAAATTGTCAAGTCCTGACAAATATTTGGAAGATTTTGGAAGTATTCAGTTCAGTCATCTTGGCATCAAGTCTATTTAAAGTGCAAGATGTACCATGATATGCAATACATACTAGGCCTTACTAGGCTGGTTGTAGATTTGCAAGCTACGTCCTGCATGAAGGTACCGTTTTCCATCCTCTTGACCAATGAAGCCTTGGAGCTTGGCATTGCTTCAACCCTTGACTGTCAAACGTCAAACCCAAGGGAGTTACTGTGGCAGCATTTTGCCACTTGAAAACATGCTCTTTCATTGCTCGTCTGAATCTCTGATCGCTATACACATTTCCTGTCTCTGTGCAAAGCGCTGCACAAGCCATCCAGAAGATTGTGTGACGTTCGTTGGACCATGGCAATGGCCTAAGTCCATCAGTTGTTCCAAAGAGACCAAGAACAGAAGGCGGACGAATTGTGCTAAAAACTAATCAGTGGCGAGCCTCCATTTGGCATCAGCAAGCTTCAAACACCGCGAGAATCGGAACTCCCACTGCCTAAAATGCGAACCAAAAACAGGATATACAGTAAATACTGAAGCACGTCAGAACTTCCTACATCCACTTTTATTATGCCACTTTTGCAAGTTGGAAGAGCTAGAGTATGCACCTTATATGCAATTTCAGGCCCGGACTGCTGCTCGGCTTCGACGGTCCGGAACTCCAGCACATATGGCTCCTGCTTTCAAGCAGTGCGGGAATTCCCAACTGAACCGAAGGAGCCCAAAATTTGAAGCGTAGTACATTGTAAACAGTCTTACCCACAATTTCAACTAGCTGCAACTCACAAGCAATATGGGGAGGCTCTGTCCTCTCCATAGCCCTCACGGCCAAGCAACCATCTACGCATCTCATGAGACTGTCCACCAAGGGCTACCTGAGTCCACCACATTCCAACAAAACAGTCCAATAAAATCCAACCAGGGGTGGCGGGGTGCTTGTCATAGTGTCCTAGCATTCCGCTTTCACCCTACTGTCCAATAAGATGCCATAAGCATGCACAGTAAGGCTATCGCGGCAAAGTGTCGATGTGGTGCATGCTCCACCTGTCATTCAGCACATACCAGCAGGACCAAAGACTGGTCTTGGGAAAGGCGGCAAAGCACGCTGGCTCGGCCCGCCACGTTGCAATACCTTTCTGGGCTTCAAACAGGCAATCAACTTTTGCACTAGCTGACTAGCTGCTACTATGATCTACTATGTAGCTCGTGTTGGCTGAATAATGTCACTTGCAGGAGCGCTCAGTATTCGATGGTCGTTAGGATCGGAGGATGCACTTTCTCTGAGTTGATGCTGTGGAAAGCTCCTCTTAAGTCATCGTTTCTTTCAAGTTTCTGAAGATGGGAGCTAGACTGTGAGAATGCAGTTCAAATAGTATTAGAATAGCGCGAAAAGTGTTCCTTGTCTTGGAGAAAACATTCCTCGCCGTTTCAATCATTCAGAGATTTAGGCCCCAACCACCTGGATCACCAGAAATTGGCGGCCTCAATATGTTTTCAGTAGTTCTTGATGTTCTTTGTGGCCCTTTTCAGCCTGGTTTCACCCTGGATACCCACGCTGCAAACGCATCAGCACTCAGCAATTCTAAGATACCTGGCTTCTTTGGATTGTGTTCAGGCTCAAAGCTCCAAGCATGGGAAAACCTTGGCCCAAAAATCAAAAACGACTTGATCAGCACAAGCGAAGAGCTTTCAAAAATTCTAGCAAAAGCGAATCCGATGAGTAAAATGTGTTTCACCAGAAAACATACCAAATCTTTCAAGAGTTCCTCCCTTCAAGGATTTGCAGTGGGACGTTGACCTATGGAGACTATGGAGAAAATCGAACTATATAGATAGATATACTGATATACAGTAGAATCTACTCAGTAGAAGCTTTCCGGTTTCCAGCACTCCAAGAATCCTAAGGTAAATGCTCCCAGCTTTCCAGCAACTCCACATAGGGCTTCCTGGAGCATTGCTCCATTTAGCGCATGGTTGGCCCAGTAAAACTTCAAATGCAATGAAGTCTTGGACTATGGTGACTATGAACAATGTCCTGTGCGGTCTCCAGGTGTCCTGTCAGGATTCACACCAAAAAAGTCCCAAAATGGGCTGTTGAGTTTGTTCCAGAAAGCATGTTGGGCCTGGCACTGCATTACAATTCATGTGACTCTTCAAAAAATGCATTAGCCATTAGTAAGACAGGGAGCAATAAACTGCAAGCTCAGCACGTGCCTCAGGATCGATTGCATAAGGCTCGTAGTCGTTCCGAAGCCTGAGTGGTATTCATTGATCCGGAAAGTCCAGAACAAAAACTCTTGTAGAACACGACTTCTCTTTGGCATGTGTTGAGGCCGGGGGCTTGCAGCGAACTACCACATCCTGGTAAATGGAAACTGAATCCAGCCGCAATATCTTGCTGCACATTGAATTGTCGATTTCCCTCTATTTGCAGGTTGGCAACAAGATTGCAAAAGATTCATGACAAAGGCCAAGTTTCCAATGACCCTAGAAGGAGCAAGCTTGAAAGCTTCTGAAAGCCATCAAAAATCTGCATGGCCTCGACTTTGGAGGGTGGAGCGGCCACCTCCGCTAACTTGCACCAATTTCCGTGCACAAAATTGCAGAAACTCATCTCCTCAGTTCAAGAAAGCATCCTACCTCTGCCACGAAGCCCCTGCCTAAGGACATGGAACGAAATGGATGTAACTTGGGTGCAAATCCCAAGACCAAGTCTATCCAAGTCTATCCAAGTCTCATGTTGATCCCTCAAATCTTTGTCTGGGTCTCTGGCCACGAGTGACCCGCTCAGGGTTTACGGCAGCACGCACTCCAAGCGTCCTAGCAGCTATACGTTGCGTAGCCACAGCCGCTGCCCAGGCCCACTCCATGATCTCCATGTTGAACGGAAAACAGCACGGGCAGTCGTCCTGCCCTTTCCGGCTGAGGCTTTCCGCGCAATCTCATCATCACTCTCTTCCTGGAGAGGTACAGTCAAGCTTCCACATGTTGTAAAAATTGTAGACACGTTTACAGAATCGACTACTTTGTATCAAACATTCAAAGATCTTGAATGAAACAGGTCAATCTGTATCATGAAAGATTCCTTTCCGTGATCGTTTGGAGATTGCAAGGTTGCACAAATTTGTCCCAGGACTATGTAGATAGTTCCACAACATTTATCATATTTATCACTATCGAAGCGGAAGTTGCACCAAAACGATATATGCTACGTTGCGTGTGAAGCTCAACTTGCAACCCAAGTCTGACAGCCTCATCACTACTCCATCCCCTCATACCGCCCCCACCATAGCCTGAGAAAAGTGCCACTAGTTTTTGCAAAGCTGTAAGCCAAGAGAAAGACATCAATTTCTGTAATGGTCCACGGGAAGTCTCAAATACTGCTGTTGTTCAGACCGTTGGCTGTATCTCGTTCAATTGGGGAAAATATCTTTCTCAAACTGCACTTCAAGCTTCAGACCAAGCCGTTTGCGCTTGACAGGAGTAGCAGGAGCCGCCTAGAAACTTGTGTCCCGGTTCATAGGACTGCCTAGCATGAATCCCGCTATGTATGCAAATGGTGAGCATAATCATCCATCCAATGTGTGCTTACATGCAGACCTGACTTGGCCCAGTTTAGGTGGAGCCTGAAAGTCAGTGAGCATTTCAACAAATTTGCAGTGAGTGAAAAAATAGCTTTCAGCGGAACAGCGCGTTTGTTGCAATAATATACCTAAGAGGCTGAAATTCTACCATCAACGAGACGAAACACCGGAATTCGGATGCCTCCTGTCTGTCGTCATGTTGCTGCACGTCATGATCCTCGTCTGCTTTCCTTCAGAAACAAGTTCACTCGGAAATGTTTTTGCAAACCTGCCGTTCATGTTCTATATTTTTGTAGAGCCTCTTCACAGCATCAGCATCTGCATCAACGGGATCTTCTACATCGCACCTGCAGTTTGCATAATCTTTTGGACAAGAGTTCCTCGCTAAGTTCCTCTCCAAGTTCCTCTCCAAGTTCCTCTCCAAGTCTCAAGTCCTGTGTCACACCTGCAGCTGTCACCTTCAGTTAAAGTCAAACTGGGGTTGCGGCGGCACTGCCACATCTGCTAGCCTGGCTGGAGCTTCCTTGCCTCTTTGCCGCCACAAACAACCATCAAACAGCCGACCAAAAGGTGTCACAACTTTGAACCATGACGTCAGGAGAGAAGGGGAGCAGGAGGATTTTCTGATGTTCCCCATGTCTGTCTGAATTGTGACTCTTCTTGGTGTACACCTATTGGAATTGCAGCCCCAGGTGCCCACCTAAGACGAAGTCTTCACAACGCACAACCGGCAGTAGCCCTAGGCTGAAAGAGCAGCAATAAGTACAAATAGACCATGTGTGAAGATATGAAGTACTCAAAGAAAGGAGACTCGACGATGTCAACGACTCCGGAATCAAATAGAATACTCTGAAGAAATCAATCAGCGGTCGCTGCAATGCAAAAACACAACAAACAAACGCACAACCTGGGAAAACTCCTATATTGGAGCAGCATTTCTTGATCAAACAGAAGCAAAGTAAAGGCAAGTCGCCGGGTTGTTCTAGTCTGATTCTAGTCCAAGTCTTTGGAAGTCGTGCCTTTGTCACGTGTGGCTTCCGCGATGAGGCGCCTTTCCTCGGTCAACCAGACCAACTTGCGAATCGTCGCCATGGGCCGAGCTTCAGCAAGACTAAGGCGTCTCTGGATGTTGACAGGATTCCAGCGCTACCCTCATATTAACATATATTAACGCCATTTAACATAAATGAAATTCAGGACTCAACCTTTCACATGAGGAAAAAAACATCTATCTCATCTCAGAGGGGGACAAAGTGACTGAACTGTGCAGCTCCAAAATAACTCAGGCATGGACATCTCCCCAGCCCTGTACCACAAACGTCAAGTCAAAGCGGACCAACCTGTCTGTTGAACAAAACACTGGGGCTCAAACCAACGAGAGCAGTCATTAGAGCTTGCCTTTTGATGTTTGTTGACGCTTCTTGCTAACCCTTAGCAGTTCGAAGTCTCATACATCTCATATTTCCCATGCTCCTTGGATCTCCTTGGTCCTATATTTGCTACCTGTCCTGAGGGCTTAGCAGGGCATGCAGCAGCTGAGCAAAACGAGGCTGGAGGGGTGGAAAAGTCAGCCTGGGGCGAGGCCGCCGAGGCCGCCGAGGCCGTGGCTTGGACTTGGATTCAACATGATTTAGCACAGAGAAGATTCCATGGCAGACGCTCAGGACGCTGCAGAAAGCGAGTATCTTCATTGCTGTCTGAAGTGCCTCGACAGGTCATTGCTGCGTTGCTTTGAAGATACCATCAAAAGCCAGGCCATGATACAGTAGATAGCTTTCAGAAGCAAAACAACAAAAAATCAATGCATATGATTTCCTCTGCGCGCACGAAGCACCAACGAGGCCAAGTCCTGTCATGACTTCAGTCAGTGAAATCATTCATAGCAACTCCAAACCTGCTTTCTAATCTTACATATTCTTACATATTCTTACATATCTATACATATCTCAAAATCTTACAATTTGCTTACAGTGCTCACTGGGACGTCAATAGTCGTCAGTCCCTCTGAGTCCCTCCGAGTCCCTCCTCTTACCCAACGCGCAAGGGTCTCCTCTTCAGCCAATGACAGAAATCTTCGAGAGGACCTGCGACAGCTGCAGTGCTGCTTAGCTATGCTTAGCTATCAGAGTTTCGCTGTCGCTGAAAGAGCCAAAGGTGGGCATATGTGGGCATCCTAAAGCCCAAGCCGTGATCGAGCCAAATAAACTGGATCTTTTTCCTGAGTTTCTCGGAGCTTCTCTGAGCTTTTCTACCAGACGTTGCATTTGCAACGGGGTCAATCCACTTCGGGTCCCGCGAATTCCGCGCCCACGTTTTGTCTTTAGATCGCCAAGGTCTTGCTTGAGTGCTGTCACAAGTCCCTTCCTGCCGAAACTCGCCAAGTCCACCGCCGTTTTCCCAGATAAACAACGGACCTCTCACATCTGAAGTCATGTGAAATCCATTGGTGACGGAATGTGTGCCTTTTGCAACCATTTTACATCTGTTCCAGCATCGTTTGCACATATGCAAAATCTATATAATCAGCTTAAACTCATGAACTCCAACTACCGAATTCCATCCAGCCTGTCAAAACCGTCAAGAAACATCTTTTGATTCAAGTCTCGCCTTTGAGATGTCTTTCACCAGCTCTGCTAAGCGAGCAGCACTGCCCTCCATAAATTCAGACACCAAATCGCATGCTGCCGGGTGAGAGAGTTTTGCTATCCGCATGGCACGAGACACTGGATCTGGTGCTGAAGTGTCTGCGATCAAAGCCTGGAAGGAGATGCAACCTAAAGAATCGAACGACCCTCAAGCTTGCACCCGCTGTTTGGTACTAGAGGTGAAGATCTTGTGAAGTCTCCGAATCCAGGAGAGGAATGGGTGAACACTGCAAATACTTTACTTGAGGCCCAGGGGTAATGGACGAAAGCTAGCTTGGCAGGGAGCTTGGCATGAAAACACACTGATGCTGAGGATGCGGATGCTGCCGAATTTGCTGGTGGTGGCAACATGCCGACGGTGGGGGAGGGGGGGGTAGTTACGTATGAAGTTTCATGCGATTGGAGATTCCAGCCCCCCAATACCTTGCTAAAGCAAGAGGGACTTCAGCTGGCAGTAGCTAGCTTTCGTGAAGAGCTGGAACCAAGGAAGCAAGCAAGCAAGCCAGCAAGCATAGCGGCAACCGTCCCGGTTGCAAGCATTTTATGGTATACGATGCGACCAATATTGCAGGCTAGTCGTATAATGAAGCATATCGCTTGAAAGTTGAATGCACGCCTTTCTTTTCACCTTTAGATGTGACTTGACCCGGACCTGACAAAGCGATGCGGCATCGGGGAACTTTTCCGAGATCTTCAATGCAGTGGCCGCAGTGACGCCATTGATGGAAGCCAAACGGTTTTTGTACTCCTCAAACTCGAGAGCCTCCTTTTAGCATGAAAGCATAGAAAAGTCTAGCCAACACATTTAGGCATCAGCCCCATTGCAACCAAGAAAATGTTTGATGTGTCAGTGCCATGACAGTCTGACATTGTGACCACATTTGAAGAGTAGACTACATTCTTTCATATTCTTTCCCCATTGCCAGCATTGATAGTTTTTTAGATCTTTTGATCAATCTCTGCAATCAGCTTTGCTTGCAGAGCTGTTCTCATTGCCAACTGGCCTTGCCAGCAATCTCCGCAACCAGGGCCACGCGTGTGGGGAGGCTGAGGCCAGGAACGAGCTGTGAGAGTGCTCTGACAGGATCCCGTTCCCCTCCAAGCAGCAAAAATCACAGCTCTGACAGTGGATGCTGCAGAGAAAGTCTATGAATTTCTTCAAAATCTCATGGCCTTGCAGAGGTATGCAGAGGTGATTTGGTCTCTTTGACTATCCGACAGACCTGTTTGATATATGCACCTAGCTCTGGACAAACTCACAAACCCTCCCACAGGCCTTGTAGGAAACTCTGTAGTTTCTTTCTCGTCCCAAAGTCTCGCACAAGCACTGTTGCAGACTCCCTTGTCAAGCCGTGAATGGCCTTCAAACTGGGCTTTTGCAAAGAAACTCTGTCATCACCTGACTCTGTCTTTGAAGATTTTGAAGCACAAGCTTAAGCAGCTTCACAGCTTAGCCTTCTGGCCTGGAAAGAGCATATGAGGTTCTCGCGCTCGACAGCCGCCTGTCCAGCCAAAGCCTCTGCTAAAAGTGCTGCAGCGGGTCGGCTCCAACGAGATTCTTTGTGAGAGCCCTTCTGGACTAGCCATTGCCTTGCGTGGATCATGTGGATCGTCTTGATGTTGGTGCCAGTGTGAAGGCAATTAAAGATAATTAAAGTGAAATATGAAATAAGTGAATAGAGTCGAATGTTCAGAGAAAGTTTTGCATTTGAGATGAGAATCACAGGATCCTCTGCTGCCATCATGGCGGTGATAAAAGACTGCATGTGGTTATGACCTTTGACCAATCTCTTGGCGATCTCTTGTGAAACTCCGCGAACACATCGCAGTTGACTCGCCAAGGCCTCCTCATAGCACCGACAAAAGTTTCAGCAATGCAGCAAAGAACAGCACAGACAACACAATGCCGGTCGCAATGTCATGTCACAACCGCCGAATTGTGCAGCAAAGTGATAGTAAAGTCACTCTATTGCCACGTCTTAACTGCAAGTGTATTTCAGATGTGTTTCAAGTGTGTTCCCAGTGTGTTGTGGCATCACAAGTTCTCAAAGACTGTGTATCGGGCTCGCAGACTACACAGTTGGTTCAAAGCGTGTTTCTATCTGTTGTCCTTTGGATCTTCTCCACGTCGCGGCCGAAAGGGAATCTCCTGTCCATATCTGTCCATCAAGTCTAAATGCTGAGTCTAAATCTTCACATCTATTCGGTCTATTCGCAGGATTTCGCCCACTTCCCTTTTCATATGGCTTGACACGGTCCTTCCGTGTGCTGTACTGCAAAGGTCTCATCTGCATCAACTTTGGATACTCCTGGGCTCTTGGATGAAACATCACATGGTCCCTTCACCTTGCCACCTTTTCTCCAACCGATCATCAGTGTGGAACTTCCATCAACTCAAACTTGTTTAACGGAGCCCTGCCATCTCCTGCACGATGGTGCAAACTATCTCTGCAGTCCCGGCTAAATCTTGCGTTCGAAACACCGGAATCTGGTCACGCAGACATAGCCTGAGCCGCATCCAATCAAAGCCATCACGCTATGAACTGTACGCAAATGCACAATATGGATAGCGAGCACAGCCAGCAAGAAGAGACACGGATGATTCCTCGTTGAAACTTGTTTGGAGTCTTGGAACACCTTAGAACCTTGTGCAGACCAAATGATCTTGAACGGGCACCCAGGGTCGACGCACGCCAAGTCAAGCCATGCCAAGTCATGCCCCTCGGCGCGCCTCACCATGGTAGCCAAGGCCAAACGCCTTTGCGCCTCATACGGCAAACGTTGCATATTTGGGCGGGGCACGTGTAGCTGAGAGAGATTGCCCTCCACGATGACCAGCGAATTTAGCCTGTCAAAGAAATCAAAGACCTTGTACTTTTTGCATGTCAGAGAGACTGCAAGAACTTTTTCTCTCTCAGCAAGAGTTGGCAAATCCAAACTGTTAAAACCCTATATAATGTGAACTCTTTATACAACATTTTTCAGGTACCTACAACGCATAAGCTAAACCTCTTGGAGTTTGAAGACCATTGCGCTCATGATGCACTCGCACGAGACAACCCTGCCTGTTGTATTCCGTTTGATTCAACTGATTGCCAAGCTGGTTAAAGAGCCTCGTGTCAAACATAGATTGCACCAGATCGGGCACCGCCTTCCGTTCGATGAAGATCTCGAATGGTTTCCTGCCAATGATGACGTCCCCCACACGAAGAGTTTCCACACTGAATGGTATCTCCATGGAGTCGCGCAAACATTCCTAAGCCAACAGATTCAGCAGAACCAAGGACACCAAAGTGACAGGAAAGAGGATCTTGTCAGGTAGGAGCTACAATGCCCCATGGCTATCTTTTCACCACCCCTCACCTTGTTTGCAGATTCTGGGGTCAACTTTCCTTCCTCTGCTCTTCCTTCCTCCTGTCACTCTCAAATAGACACTAGTCCTCCGAATCACGACCGCACGCCTGTACCAATGTACTGTACGCACTCAATATGTCAATATGTCAGCAGATATGTCAGAATACCTGACATACATGCGTCAATCAAGATGCCTATACAGTAGTCCGTCCAGATGTCCGAGCATGTGTCATTCAATATGTCAGCAAAAATGCCACCAAATATGATATGTCTGAATAAATGCCAGTAGATATACAAGCATATATGCCAATACAAATGTCAGTCAGATGACATGTCACTACATGTCACCACAAACGTCAGTGAATGTTTCAGAATATGTCACTCAAAGATGTGGGGTGTGTGTCAGTAGGTATGTCAGTAAATGGATTACTGTAGTCAATATATAGTCAAGATACCTTTACGGTAGTACATATGTTAGCAAATTGGGCAAGCAAATGGAAATACAAAATAGCAAATTTACATGTCGGATATCGTATACATCAAAGTTTCTGGTGGTGGGGATACTCAAAGTGGAGTAATCATTGGAATCAGAGCCAAATCATCACTGGCAGTTGGGCCTAGACAACAAACAAACCAAATAACCTTGCTGGAATGGGGAAAGGGTCATGCATTGACTCCAAGAAACAATGAGCTTCTTTTCGCGAGAATCAACCCGTACAAGAATTCCCGCTGCATCCAAGGCTGTCATTTGCTCCTGATGTCAAATATTCCATGCAAGCATATTGTGTCCAAGAGGGTTTACAATTTCTTGGCAACAGGTCTTGCGATTCTTTGGATAGGTCTTTCAATTTCAATCCTCGTTATTCGAACATGAGTCCCATATGAGCACAATCTCCTGCCCCTTTCGAGAAAGCACCTCCACTTAACTTTCCACAGCAGTGTATCTTGTTTCTTGAGACCATTACTACATATCACACTATATATCACACTACATATTGCTACGGGTTGTTCACCAGGAGTTTCCCTGTGCCTCCACGGACTCTGGCAGTTCAGTCTTTCGAGACAAGTAGTGCGCCCACGCCCTCATATTTTTGGACCATTTGCCTTTGCAGTGGCGTACAAGTGAACAGGTTTGGTGGAGCGTGCTGAGATGTCTAGTCGGTCTAGTGATTCAGTAAGAATCTGGAATGTCACATCTAAAGACTTCAGGTTTTCACAATAGGTTTCTCTTTGTCAAATCCCAGATAACTCCAACCTTCAGAACCAGCTCTGAGAAGGTGCTCGGTAAAGTCGTTTGTTGAATCCATGGAGTGAAGAGCAGCCATCACATCCGAGTCAGTTTTCCTCAATCTCCAAGCAGAGTTTGTGAAAACACAAGGTGCATCAACAGATGCTGCAGAAAATGTAAGGTCAGAATTCGATGTGATTCTTAACACTCCGTACATTCTGTGAGCGTTTTTTTGACGCGGAAAACTTTCTTTTTTCGCATGAAAGAAACCTGCCTTAGACGTACGCCCCAAAGAACACAACCCTCTTCGCAGAACTAGTTGGTAAAAAGGGAGTTGGAAAGAAAATGCGTCAATGCTGTGGTCCATGCGTTTCGTACAAATAGAAGCAAGTGAAGGACTGTGCTCAATACTGAGACCCTTGCGGACCCTCGGGGACCCTTGCAAACCCTTGCAGACCCTGCTTGCCGCCCAGGATCTTCGAAGTGAATGAAAGTTTTTTGCCTTGCCTTGTAATCTCAAACCGTTCAGAAACATAGGACCGAACAAGTCCAATCGCCTTTGGATCTCGAGGCTGACATTGGTTTTGCAAAGACTTCTTGCCAGTTTTTACCAAAACATTTGCCACGCCGGAAAATCGATCCACTTTCCTGAAGGTCAAAGCTGCAAGCGACCTCATGTGGAATCACATGCCATCATGACTTGTAGAATGCCAGTTTCCACGTTGGACAAATATTTGCCATGGCAAGGGATATGACTTGGGCCGCCACAGAATCCATTTGACGTAAGTGTGGATTGCTTTTTATTTCTTGGAATAAAACACCAGGGAAATAGTCCAATTCTTCAAAAAACACTTGGTGGACCCCAGGGACCAAACAAATAAACGTGATGCATCGTAGAATGAAGCACACCTGTCAAGCCTCTTGGGTGTTCGCAAGACTCTTGTGACTCTTGTGACTCTTGTGCATTTCCAGACTTGGAAGGATTGCTCTTTGGATTCGTGTATTGTGAAGTTAAGCAAACAATACAAAAATTGCAAACGTTTTGAAGGTATTTCAATACGATCCAAGCAAGAATTCAGGACTTGAAATGAAATGTTCAAACAAGTGCCACGGAGTATTGAGGAGATTGTGAGTCAAATGTCCACGCAAAATCAATATTCGCACACAGATTCGGCAGAATTCATTTTTGCGGCAAAAATCGAATGTTGTCCTTTGAACAAAAATGAGGTTCATTTTGCGGAATTGTGGAAGCATGTTATTCCAATGGAAAAATTTTATTCCAAATTCATCTTTTATTTTGTAGCATCCAATTTCAGAAAATACCTAGAACCTAGAGCTGTGATCCAATCCAATCATCCCCACGCGGCCGTTCACTCTGTCGCGGATTCGTACTCACAAAAAACCAACCGCACATCATCATCCTGTGCGGTTTGGGAAACAATATTGAAATTCACATTGAGATTTAACATCAATTTCATTTCTGTATTCTGTATGGAAAACAACATGGCCATTTGCTTAATGAAACGAACAGGAACAAAAAAAAACAGATCAACCATCACAAAAACCACTTTAAGCAAAGAAACACCCAGACCCAAACAATGAAAAATCAATTTGCCGTCTACGCCCAAAGTATTTCAACGGAATGCCACGCCTGAAATTCAATTCCCGGACCAAATCAAACCTGATGTCATTACCGTGACATGGATAAACAAAAAACAGGAAACCAACAAAATTCATGTACTGTAGAAAAAAAAATGTCGGTGTCAAAATTCGGAAATTCACATCAGATTGCTTTCCACTGAAAACAAAAACGAACGATCATAGACGCATACCCGCATATACACAACCATTTTCCATGTAGACTATAATAATCCATATTCATATGGAAATCATTTTGGCAGTTTTGCCACTGAACAAACATTGAGGTCGCAACTCTTCCAAGGAATCCATCGCGCCATCCACATTGTTTCAAGGCACACTGGAATAAGTATTTATATAGTGTTTTACGAACTTAACAATGAACACGCAGACTTGGTAGGTTTGCAAGACAAACATGTTTCACTGGGGTTCGATTTCAAACGAGATCTTGTTCAGACGTGTGGTTTTGAAAGTTGCAGTTGCCGTTTCACAAAGGATTAGTACCACAATGCTGTTTCAATTGACAAAAAAAATGCCAAATCTGGAACTCAGCATGGACTGTCTTGAGCAGGTGCTACGAGACACATAAAGACCCCGAACCGATTGCATCTGGTGGATGGCGCATGGCCACCATTTTCTCAAATCAAAAGGAAAGGACAGGACGCAGTGCCGTTGCAAAAAATAATCCCTGTGCGGTTTCTGATAACCCTACCCCGACAAGTTGCTGACACAGTTCAGACATAATACATGGCAGCAACCCTGTCACGTGACACATTTCTCCCATGTGTTTCATATGTACTAATTATAGCGGAAATTGTTTTGGGCGTATATATACAACACGTTTACATCTACAGGAATCGCAAGCGCAAGCACCAAACCATGCACACACCACCGACCTTCTGTGCGAGCAAATTGTGCATATTAAAAGTTGTTGCGACCTGCGTTCGTGCACGCATGCAAATCCAAGGCGTTGGGTGGTTGGGAATTTGAAATAAAGCATGACACGATGAAGAACGCAGTGTGAAGTCAGGATCTGACATGTGTTGTTGATTTGTATGGGTTGTGCGTCATTTCATTGCCGAACGAAGTTTAGAAGTCAAACTTCCGACCTATGGACAGATGCACCAACAGTGGTGAGAGCGGTGGGCAAAAAGAAAGAGACAAAAAAACAGAAGTCTAAATGAAAGAGTCAGTAGAAAGAAAATAAAGCGCGCGAAAAGGTACAAAAGTCGCGAAATGGCTCCGGAAAGTCCAAAAATAAGCTCCCCAAAGAGGCGGGTGCGGAGCCATGTGGCCGGATGTAGTCACTAGCCTCGACCAAAGCCGATTCACCAAGAGCATGCGCCGCCCCTCCACGCATAGTTGGAACCTTTTCGGATGCCGGTGAGCATGGCACTGTGTTGATCAATTGAGACTCTGCGCCTGGCTGCACTTCAAGGGCATTATGACCCCTTGCTCACCAAAAATATACCTATCGCTACGGTAGTCAATCTTAATAATCGAAGGAAATTTAGAAGTCAAACTTCCGACGTTATGGACAGACGAAAAGCAGAGATGGGAAGAGTCAGAGAGATGAGAAGAGTAGAAGAGAGAAGATGAGAGAAGAGAAAGAGTCAGAAGAAAGAAGATGCAGATGCGCGAAAAGGTAGGAAAGTCGCCAAACATTGTGTCTTTCCAATGATTTGAGGCTCCGGAAGTCGAAAAGTAGGCTCGCTAAAGCGGCGGGTGCGGAGCCATCTGGCCAGATGAGAGATGAAAAAGAGCGCGCTGTTGTGGCGCGAAGCACATTTCGAAGTCAAAATGTACAAAACACACCATGTTCGATCCACTCTTGGAAGTTGAGATGTCGAAAAAGTGCGCGCCGTTGTGGCGCGAAGCACATTTCCAAGTCAAAATGCACAAAACACACCAGGTTCGGACCACTTTTGCAAGTTGAGATGTTGAAAAAGTGCACGCCGTTGTGGCGCGAAGCACATTTCCAAGTCAAAATGTACAAAACACACCAGGTTCGGACCACTTTTGGAAGTTGAGATGTCGAAAAAGTGCACGCCATTGTGGCGCGAAGCACATTTCGAAGTCAAAATGTTAAAAACACCAGGGGTTCGGACCACTTTTGGAGGTTCAGACGTCGTTTCGCGTGGCAGGCGCAAGGGATTGTGCACCTGGTCAAAAGTGAGCAAAATTTGAGGGTTTTGTAGCATTTTCAACTACAACCACCACTACACCACACTACACTCCAATACACTACACTACAACTACAACTACAACTACACCTTCACTACATTCCACTACACTACACTACACCACACTCCACTACATTCCACTACACTACACTAAACTACACCCAATTACACTGTGCCGCACAAGGGGGTGGCAGAAGTTTCAAAAATATGAATCCTATAGGCGAGGTTGGTTGTTGTGAACCACGGATGGCAGAGCGAAACCACTGATGGACCAAAAGGTGGTTGGAGCTGTGTTTTTTGGATTGGTTGCAATCTAATGTGATGTAATGAGTGTAGTGTAGTTGCAGTTGAAGTTGCAGTTGTAGCTGTGGTGTGGTGTACTTAGTGTAGTATATTGTAGTGTACTGTAGCGGTGTGTGCTGTAGTGTGGTTTCTGTAGGGTGGTCTGGTGCAGTGTAGTGTAAAGTAGTGCAGTTGTAGTTGTAGTGCAGTGTTATTAGTGGAGTGTAGCGTAGTGCAATGTAGTGGTAGTTGTACTTGTAGTTGCAGTTGCAGCTGTAGATGTAGCGTAATGTAATGTAATTAGTGTCGTGTAGTGTCGTGTAGTGTTGTGGAATGCCGTGTAATGTAATGTAGTAGTTGTAGTTGCATGTATATTTGTAGTTGTAGCGTGCTGCAGTGTAATTACTGTAGTGCAGTGTAGTGTGATTGTAATTGTAGTTGTAGATTTCGTAGTAGTAGTAGTAGTAGCAGTAGCAGCAGTAGTAGTAGTAGTAGCAGTAGTAGTAGTAGTAGTACTTGTAGTAGTACTTGTAGTAGTACTTGTAGTAGTACTTGTAGTAGTACTAGTAGTAGTACTAGTAGTAGTACTAGTAGTAGTACTAGTACTAGTACTGGTAGTAGTACTGGTAGTAGTACTAGTAGCAGTAGTACTAGTAGTAGTACTAGTAGGAGTACTAGTAGGAGTACTAGTAGGAGTACTAGTACCAGTACCAGTACCAGTACTAGTAGTAGTAGTAGTAGTAGTACTAGTAGTAGTACTAGTAGTAGTACTAGTAGTAGTACTAGTAGTAGTACTAGTAGTAGTACTAGTAGTAGTACTAGTAGTAGTACTAGTAGTAGTACTAGTAGTAGTACTAGTAATAGTACTAGTAGTAGTACTAGTAGTAGTACTAGTAGTAGTACTAGTAGTAGTACTAGTAGTAGTACTAGTAGTAGTACTAGTAGTAGTACTAGTAGTAGTACTAGTAGGAGTACTAGTAGTAGTACTAGTAGGAGTACTAGTAGTAGTACTAGTAGTAGTACTAGTAGTAGTACTAGTAGTAGTAGTAGTAGTCGTAGTAGTAGTAGGAATAGTAGTAGCAATATTACTAGTAGTACTAGTAGTAGTACTAGTACTAGTAGTAGTACTAGTAGTAGTACTAGTAGTAGTACTAGTAGTAGTAGTACTAGTAGTAGTAGTACTAGTAGTAGTAGTAGTAGTAGTGGTAGTGGTGGTAGTAGTAGTAGTAGTCGTCGCCGTAGTAGTAGTAGTACTACTAATAGTAGTAGTAGTAGTACTAGTAGTATTAGTAGTAGTAGTCGTACTAGTAGTAGTAGTTCTTGTAGTAGTTCTTGTAGTAGTTCTTGTAGTAGTTCTTGTAGTAGTTCTTGTAGTAGTTCTAGTTGTTGTTGTAGTTGTAGTTGTTGTTGTAGTTGTATTTGTATTTGCAGCAGTTGTTCCAGTTGCAGTTGTAGTTTTACTTGTAGCTGCACTTGTCCTCGTAGTTGTAGTTGTAGTTGTAGTTGTCGTTGCCTGTCTATCTACCTAATCTATCTATCTATCTATCTATCTACCTATCTATCTATCTATCTACCTAATCTATCTATCTATCTATCTATCTATCTGTCTGTCTATCTATCTATCTATCTATCTGA